TGCTGGAGAAGGGCGCCAAGAGCGTGGTGCTGGCCTCCCACCTGGGCCGCCCCGACGGGTCCGTGGCCGAAGCCTGAGAACGGTTTTTTGTTTTTTCCTCCCCAAGATGTTGGGGGGCAGCAGAAAGTTCCGGTGGTTCCCGGCCATTTGTTGATTTGTTCCTTGTTTTTTTTGGTGGGTTTTAGATGTTTTTTCAGTTGCTCTATGTTGCTCTGGTTTCCACTTAAATAGGTTTTCAGCTGCTTTTCGTTGGCTTAGTTTCCACTAAAGCAGCAGAACTTAGACTTTCAGCAGCGGATCCATCGGGAACAGCACAGCCTCTTTGGGCTGATTTCGTGGTTCCTTTCTTGTCTTAGGTTTTTTTAAAGGGTTTGATAGTATGCAGGGTTAGGTGGACATATAATCCTTTGAGGCTCGTTGTGCACGAGACTCACACTGGACTGGTTCTGTATACGGGCGTGATTTGAACTGGGGACCTTTAATTCACATGATTTAGGAGGGATGTATGTGCACCCGCCACTTTTCAGATTCCTTAGTGATACACTAAATTCTTGGCCGTGTAAGTGTGTAATATATATATAATATGGTACCCCGCCATGGGATCCTGGTTTGGTGCGTTTGACCTGTATTTTTTCCAGTGTTTTGTGGTTGCATATACATACATATAGACATATATGATATATATATATATACAAAGGATTTATTTTTTGGCACAGCTTTACGCACTGCTTTGTCGGACCACGGCAGGGCCCAAAAAACAAAAACGCCAATCGCGCGGCAGCTCCATGAGATCAACACGTCCGGGGCTCCGACTTTCCGACGCCTTGACCCTGGGCCTTGGCCTCTAGAGGACTCTAGAAAACGGTTTGGATGCTTTGTAAAAATATGTGGATCTTTTTCTAGGACATCAACAAAAAGTACTGAAAGAGTGAGTACGAAAAAAGGATGAACAAGTGAAATCCAATCCAAACCACAAGGTGTTATTTGTACTTTAATCAGGGGCCGTGGCGCCCTTTGCAGGTTTGCTGCGAAACCTCAAAACAAGAACCAAGCCACACCGGTTGCAAAATTGTGTATTGGGCCCTTTCGTTGTCCTTTTCCACTTGCACAATTCTAACCTTCCAGGGTCGAATGGGGGTTTACCTGGTTTTGTGGGGGCCCTTCAGAAGAACAGTCTCGCGAAATCATATTCATCATGTAAAAAGCAGTTCACTTGAATTTAATCTGCTGGTAGATGAATAAATAACACACGCAAATACATAAGTAAGTATAAAATCCACACATGCTAGCCCCGTCCTAATAGTGTATATATATATATATAATAAACATGTGTACGTCCTGGCTTGTCGGGTCTAGTGGGGCCAAGCCTCATTCGAATGCCTCTCCCGTCAGGTCGAGAAGTTCTCTATGGCCCCCGTGGCCAAGATTTTGGAGGAGACGAGAGCGCTTCGAGTCGACCGAGTCGACTAGATCGAGACACCGTTGGCATAGACCTGGATATCCCAAAGCTCTAGGAGCTGATTCCCCGTTCTTTTTCCAACCATGGTTCTTTTCAAAAACCGGATCCGTTTCCCTGGGTTTTTGATGGTTTCCTGAAAAGAAGGATCCCTGGAAAGAATGGTGGCCCTAGAAAAGTTGTTCTTTTTGTGTTGAAGGAAGACTGCTTTTGCTGCTCTGCCTCCAGGCGTTTTCAGGGGAACATGACGTTTTGCAAGGTCGAGCTGGTAGACTGAACTCTGCCAACGCCGTGTTTTCTTTGGCAAATCAAGCAGCGTTTTGTGGGGTATGCAGAAGTTCTTCAATATGCACGCGTTGCTCCAACGGCTTTTTTTGGGAACCAAGCGGGTTTTTGGGCAGCAAAGGCAGAAATTAGGAGAATTTCAAGCAGCGGCTGGGCTTTCCAGGTGGGTATGATGTATTTGTATAATATTGATATATATATATATACATAAAGGTGTGCATCATATCTTTTAGAAGGTATCTGTGTTATTGTGGTTTTTAGGTGGTAACCGAAAGGAACACGGCCATGTATATATAGATATATACACACACCAGGTGCGTGTGTCACCATGCCTGAGATGCGAGACAAATGTCAATGCACAGGTGCCACGTGGCACGTTACGCTGCCTTGCTGTGCATGCCTGCGATAGGAGCCCTTTGAGTGACCGGGGATGAATAGCAAAGCGCTTAAGCCTTAAGCAGTGCACCAATCAGAGTGGCAAACTGTGCGCATGGGCTGGCACAAGCGGATGTGTGTGTGTGTGCCCTTTGTGACTGTGTGTGTGCGTGTGTGTGTGTGTGTGTGCGTGCGTGCGCGCGTGTGCATGCGTATGGGTATAGTAGCAGATGCGCAAACACCCACACAAAGTGACGCCTATACGCTGCATTGCTTACCTAGCGAGTACACATGTGCTTCATGATATTGCTCTTTGACGTACGTTTACCATTCCTGCTTCTCTTTGGGTACTTTTTGACTAATATATGGAACCTGCCATGGCTCGTTTCCACGAAACATTGCTAGGGCTTTCCTCCTAATTTAAATATTCCTTAAGCCTCAGATGGAGCAGGTGGTTTCCACTGTAGTTGAGTTTCGCCACGGATTACGGATTAGGAAAAGCCGGGATCACCCCCACAGGCAACGCCCCAGGGTCTTGGCCTCACCCTCGGAGCAGTTTTTGCACGGACGCCTTGTGATCGGCTGGCTTGGATTGGCTGGTTTAATTTTTTCACCCCTGGTTCTGAAGGGATGGGAAGCCGACCCTCACTCACTACCTGACTTCCTGCACTTCATTTTTTTTCCGGGAAGACCATTCTAGTCAGTAACTTTAAAAGAACAGGTTCCTGTATTTTGCCACTCCACGCCATTTAGGAAGTGACCACCAAGCGGCTTTTTCATCACTGCCTCTTGGAAAGGATGGGAAACCGACCCCCCGTCCGCACCTAAGCCAAGCGAGCCAACCTCAGCGTGAGCTTCCCCAGAATTAGCTCCCCTTGTTCTTTGTTTTTTGCTTTTTGGGGCTCCCTTTGTTTTCCACGCACCAGGCAAAACTTCAATGACATGTTTTTTTGCTAGGGTTCCAATTCCAATTTCGCGTGAGGAGAAGCTCGGGAAGCCGGTGGTCTTCTGCAAAGACTGCGTGGGCCCGGAGGTGGAGGCCTGGGATTTCATTGGTTCGATGGTGCAGCTGGTGTGAGGCAGACCCATTTGCCTCTAGTCACTTCCTGAGTTCCCGGACTTTAGTCACTTTTTGGTACGACCGGTTTAGTGGTAAGCAAGAAGTTTGGACTTTTTCTGGCGCCACTTAGGAAGTGAGTCCAATATTTGTTTTTGTGGGGAGCTTGGAACAAAGACCTCCCCAAAGGCAACCACTTACTCAGTCAGTGCGCCACTCAGTCAGCCAGTGAATGCATGAATGAGTCAAGCAATCATTACTCACTCACTCGCTCACTCACACACCGACTCACTCACTCACTCACTCACTCACTCACTCACTCACTCACTCACTCACTCACTCACTCACTCAATCAATCAATCAATCAATCAATCAATCAATCAATCAATGAATGAATGAATCAATCAATCAATCAATCAATCAATCAATCAATCAATCAATCAATCAATCAATCAATCAATCAATCAATCAATCAATCAATCAATCAATCAACACAATCAATCAATACAATCAAAGAATCAAACAGACAAGCCAGCAGAAAAAGCGAACACACAAATTCACGACACGCCAACAGCAACCAAGAAAAAAATGAACCAACAAGCCAGCCAGCCAGCCAGCCAACCCAACCAACCCAACCAGCCCACTCCGACCCAACCCAACCCAACCCAACCCAAACCAACCAACCAAACCCACCAGGCAGGCAAGCAAGCAAGCGCAAACACAACAACACAAAGCGAAACGAAACAATGCAAACAATCAAGCACCAGACAAACACGCGCACACACAGAGACACGCCTGGGGTCTCCTCCAACAACACATTGCATTTCTATGGTCAGCAGAGTCGGAGCATCTTTCATTCTGACCCCGGATGCGGGCCAAGGCCCGGATAATTTGCCAGGCGGCATGCGCGGACCCCGCCCCCGGCTCCGTGATTTTGCTGGAGAACCTCCGCTTCCATGCAACTCGGATGCTGAAATTTGGAGAGGCGATGTGTGGACCAGTTTGGGATCTGGTTTGGAGGTTTTTCTCGAACATTGTGGACCGCTGTTGGATGCTTTTCAATGGAGCATATGAGGAACCCACTCATTTTTACGAGTCCTTTTCTTGAGAAAGGCCCATTTGTTACATGTTGAGGTTTATGACATATGGACCAGAGTCAAAACATATTAATTTTGGCCGGGGGCAGAAACTGAAGTTGTTGTGGCCAAAGCGCTGACCGAGATGCACAAAGATTGCCACATTCTACGATTGGGCGTCAAAAACATGGGTTGCCCTTGACCGTACTTGCACTTCGCAAGGGCGGCATGTTCACACAGACACCTCGTGGATGCGGTTCTTGCGCACACACACACACAAACACACACTATTGATATCCACAGCGATGGTGCAACTGCTGGATGTGTTGATGAGATTCAAGAGTACAGTCATGGCGCGTTTCGTTTATGTGCAGCAAAAGAGGGCAACATGTTGGTTGTGTGCGTGGGTGTTGCGATCTAACGCAACATGCTGACTGTCCTTGAACCTACTGGCACGAGCAGAAAACCAGCATAGGTTTCTCCGCTCCTCCTTTCCTTGACCAGCAACTATGTTGTAGAACAAAACACACAATTCTGAAAGCGGTCAGACGGCTGTGTCCTTAGTTTGGCGCTTCTCGTCCAATCGTTATCAAGATGACGTCACGTTTGCCAAACATATCGGTGTTGACTTTTACTTAGCGGATCCTGACAGAGTTCCTCATGTAACATAGACAGTTGAGCCACAATCAAAACCCGGGTAGATGAAGGTTAGTAAGGGACGATCCCAGCCATAAATAGCTGCGGCCGCCTTCTTAATCCTGTACATGGTTCTGGGTAGACCATTTTAGTACCGGGTTTTGATTGCGACTCAGTTGGCGTTCACACGGTGAGGCACCGTGACGGCTTGCCCTGACTGATGCCCTGTGCGACTTAGCTGGCCTTTCGCATCGTAGAGACTCTCGGCCTTTGGGTTGCCTATCCGAGTTTTCCCCAAGATTCGGATGCTAAACGGGTATGGGTTTCAATTAAAACAAATGGCTTTGCGTTTAAAGATTCCGGGTTTGGGTTGTCGCTTTTCTTTTGCCCTCTCGCTTTCCCAAAGCAAGGGACAGAACGCATGCGAGCGCGCAAGGTGGAAGAGGAGGGCAAGGGCGTGGATGCCGCAGGCGGAGTTTGTGTTTTTGTGTTTGGCGGTTTGGGGATGACTTCTACTGGGCAACGGATCTTTAGACTTTAACTTTTTGGTGGAAATCATTAGGGGGTTTTCCACTAGACCCCCAAAAAAAATCAAAAAGAAAAACACAAACTTTGCAGGAGGGTCAACAGCAACCAAGGTTTCGGGATGATTGCAACTGGGCAGTTGGTGTGCAGATGAGCGTGGAGCTTCGAAACCAGCCATAGAGGGCTCTCCTTTTTGGTTTTTTTGGTTCCGTGAACATTCCATCGGGGGCAGCCTCATCACCCTTCTGTTGTAGTTGGGAAGTGGAAGTCACATAGATTGAACGGCGGGCGATTTTTCGGGGAGGCTTTGAACCTCGTGGAAGTTCCTGGGGTCCTTTTGGTCTCTGTTCGGTTCGAGCTCGGCACCGGGTGATTTTTTTGCCTTCGGCACTCGCAGGTTTGGGGAAGGGTTCCGCTGAAAAAGCTCAACCTCCCCTTAGCGGGAATTTTTGGCTTCGGCCGGGATGTGGGCTCCACCCACTCCAATTGGGGGGGTGGGGTCTTGAGCAATGTGGCGGAATTCGCCGCTGGGCATTTGAGAATGTCATTGTGACCCATGGCAACCATGGCAACCAAGGCGATCACCGTTGTTTTTTGCTTAAACCTGTTGGCTTTCCGATTCTCCAAGTGGTTTATTGGAGTTGTTGGTCAATTTGGTTGACAATGGGTTTAACAATGTCTAACAAGACTGTTTGAAATTCTCCGCGCCCATGCTCTTTGGGGTGGGTTCGCGGATCCCAGACGGTGCAAGCAGATCCATTGTTCCAATCGGCCCCGCCAAATGGAGCACACGCACTTATCGGGATGTCCTTTCGGCCTCAGCCTGCAAAAAGGGTGTCGAGAAAGGAAGCCCAAGGGAGGGACCGTTTTAAGGCCCGGCAAACGGGTCATGGCCGAAGAATTCTCCTTGGACACATCTCCTCGAAACTTCGAATGACATCACGCCGCTTCTCCTCACTGTCCGCCGTAAATGATGCAGTTTCCTTTTGGTTGAGAAATCCGAAGTTTGACATGGGTGTGTCTTTTGATGGGGAACCCTCCCCACGAACAAAAAAAAAAAAAAAGAGAAGAAAACAACAACAATGGTGGTTTTTTGAAAGGGAAACCAAAAGGAAACCTGAAATCCATTTTGGGTCCCGGTTCAATTCCTAAAAACAACGACGGAGCCACGCACATTCAGCCCTCCCCCAAATCCTCAGCCACGCCCACCCCTTTGCGCAAAGGGACGTCGTTGCGTAGTTTCACTGTTCTGGGCAAGTGTATTGCTTTTTGTTGTGGGTTCTGTTCATTTTTGTGATTCTCGCTTGTTTGGCATCTGCCCAGCTTTTTGCACGCCCACGGCTTCTGAAACGAACAGCGCGCGCGCACAGGCAACAAGATTAAGGCGGACAAGGAGCAGGTCACAGCCTTCAGGGCTTCCATCAGGCGAAGGGGGCGGGGGGGGGGTACGCGAAGTTGCAATGCCTTGCTTCCTGAGTTCCTGGGCTTGACACTTTTGGGGTTTGGACCATCTCTGTGGCAATCAAGTGTGGACCTATCTGTGGCCAATCCACTCAGGAAGGGAGCCAGTCACATCCATTCAAGCCCAGATCCAGTCAATGCAGGATTCAACTCCTTTTGGAAGGAGATTTATTCAATGAGCGTGGATGTTCACAAATTCCAGTGTGGTTTAATAGTGGTGTCAAATTGCGAACTTTAAATAGTTGTGTCGTTTCCATTGAACCTTGGGCTTGGAGACCGGTGAAACCATGCTCTGCAGATGTCAGTTGGGTCCCAAGAAAGGCCGACATGTGCACCAGTTTTTTGGATTTGGAAGATGGTTGGCGGACAGGCTTGATTGTCACGACGCGGTTCACTATCGAAGTTACTGTGTCCTTCCAACATGCTTGTTTTCCTTGAACGTTGCTTTGCAAAGAAAACTGAGTTGTTGACCTCGAAGATCCCGCAACAAACAGGAACGCGCGCAGAGTCGCAGAGCCCTTCTCAACTTCATTCCTTTCGGCTTCCTTAAAAGGGTACTGAGTTTCGAGGAATCTTCCTATGAGGTTCTGCAACTCCTCCGTGTGTTCCACTTCAATTGCGGCCATTCTTCGTTGAAACCACGACACGACCTTTAACCAAAGCTTAAGGAGCTTTTGGGTAGGGAAAACATGTATTTGCAGGGGTTTCAAGAATAAGCAGGGGTATCCTCCAAACCTGCTTCATACTTTGAGGTTTCCTGTTGGCTTTGGATAAATCTGGAGGACAACAATCAATCAGGGTTGGTTCCCAGTTTGATAAGGAAACTAAGGGGGGTGCATTGAACAGCGTCTTCCGGATTAATCCGAAGTTGACATTATGTGAAACATAATCTGCACGCTCACTTGCCCAAAGCCAAACCTTTTGACCTTGTTGTTTTCCCATTTTGTGGCACGTTCTTCTATGTAAAGGTCCCAAAAGCTGATCACCTTGTATTTCTGGGTCCCCTTGAGGGGGCAACTGAGTCTGTGTTCCCTGCTCTTGGGCGAGCCCAAAAGACATACCGGAGCTTCCATTTGCTTAACAATATGTTAGTTTCTCACTGCTTGGCTTTAAAGGGAATCTATCGCTACTGGACATAGGATAGTTTTTTTCCAGGGGGGCTTCTCAGGGGGTGGTTTGTGGTGGTTTGCCTTGTTTTCTCCTCAAAAGGTTTTAAAATGGGAGAATTTCCCTTCAAAGGAACTTTGGTTTCCCCCCAAACGCCACCCGGAAAGTCTCCCATCTGAAGAATATGTGGGTTTCTCACTTCTTGGCTTTAAAGGAAATCTACCGCTACTGGACATATGTTATGTGCATCCCAATCTCTTCTTCAGTTTGTTGTGTGAACTAGGCTCTATTTTTTCCAGAGGGCTTCTCAGCAATGGAAAGGACACCTCCGAATCGCAGGAAGTTGGCGGACGTCTACTGCAACGACGCCTTTGGCACCGCCCATCGTGCTCACAGCTCCATGGCCTCTCGGAGAAAACCCGTACGAGTCGCCGGCCGATCGGAAGCTGGCAGTTGGTCTGTGTTTTTGTTGGAAGGTCACCCATAAAGGGAAACTCCTATTTTTTTGGAGGTCACCCTATGTTTTGTGCGGTTTTAAAGGGAAACTCATATTATTTTTGGGAGGTCACTCCATTTTTTGTGGGTTGAAAGGGAAAGTCATGTTGTTTTGGAGGTCACCCTATGTTTTATGGTTTTAGAGGGAAACTCGGAAAGGACAAACACCATGGTCAGGGTCTAACAAAAACAGAACAGGGGACTGCGGCAGTGCATTGGTTGTGTGTTTTGGGACCTGAGTAAATTGTGTGTCTTTTGCTGTTGTTGTAGGGATGTATACTCGAGAAAGCCAAAACAACAAGAAGTCTCAGACAGTCTTTCCATTGGCCCAAAGCCAAAAACTAAAAAGTTGAAAACCTTGAGACAACCAAAAATACAAGACAAAACACACAAAAGCAGCAAAACAAATCCGCGGTCTTTCTAGAAGTAGCCACTTGCCGTGCCAATAGTTCTGGGGGAAGTTGTTTTTCTCTTTTTTTTTTGTTTTTCTGATTGGTGGGTTTAAGTAATGGTTTGGTTTGGGGCAGGGCAAATCCAAAATACTTGTTTTCTATTGCAAAGAGTTCCTACTTAAGACTCCTTGCCGAATAAAACTTGATTTGCACCGAACATTGTATTGGAAAGGACATCATGTGCAAAGTTTGCTTGGATTGTGTGCTTATCAAATTATATTTACACTGTACAGTTGAATTGAACAGTTCTGTTTGGCAATGAGTTGTATCTTAAACTCTAGATTTCAGAGAGAGATTTCGATAGGTGTCCCTTGAACCAAGCGCACAAAGGGCCAACCAAAGGACAAACCCAGATGTGTCCCTGCCTGGCCCCCTTTTGGTTCCAACCGCTGCCCTGGCCGACTTAAGTTGACTTTCCTTTGGGCGAATTCTATCTAGAAAGCGGTTTGGATGCGCTTTTTCCCATGCTTCCCAAAAGGAGACTCGATTTCCTCGAAGTGCATTGGTCTCTCTTTTTTTTGCGCGGATGCCGCAAAAGAGACGAGCACGATGTGATCAGCGAGACATGGATCACGACGGGCCAAAGCCAAAGGGCTCCGTGAGAGCGGAGGGCTTAGCATGGTTGTTGTTGGGAAACAGTTGAAACATGTTTGCGCAAATTGTGGTTGAGTGGTTGACATCCAACCACTGAACTGCTAGAATTTGAGAATTTTTGCTCCCCTTCCAACGTCAACCAAGTTAGGTCCAACGGGCAGTGCTTTGATTGGTGAAGCCGAGCCTGCTTTGGTTGATTTCTCTCGCAAATCGCTTTGCGCCAGAGGAAAGTGACTCCAGACTTTTTGGAGGGTAAGGGTCAACACCCCGCAAAAATAGAAGGGGTTGTTCATCCCAGGGCTCTACTTTTTGACTATCTCCGGGTGGACTTAAACCCAGGGGTGGCTCATTCCCACCACAGAGACACCCCTGGGTTTAAGTGTAAATTTGCTGCGCAAACAAGGGACTCGAGTGAAATCGCTCAAGGCACTGTTGGATTCTTTTTTAGATCAAAATGTGAAGGCAGAACTGACATGGCAATTTGTCATGTGAATATGATAGGTCAAATCATGTTGTTTTGGAACGCCCGGTCTAACTCGCGTGGCTCGGCGGGAAACTTGTTTGGGGCTGAGTTGGCCGAAGTTTAGATAAGTTTGGGGGGGGGAGCTGCAGGTAGCTTTTTTATCCTTTTCGCCCGGATGGTGTTGTTTTGGTGTAGCGGTGATACTCCTTCAAGCTTAGCGTCAACCCAGCAGATGCATTTTGTCATCCAACTTTCGCGATGTTTTAGGGGTCCAAAATTGAAATCTCGTTGGGCCGCTATCAGAGCTGTTCCCTAAGTGTTCTTCAAGAAGCTGAACCAATCTGGAAGCTGATTTGAACGCATGTTTCAAATGGTGGCAAAATGGAGATCTTTTAAGGAGCCCTGTGATTGTAGTAGACAATCATGACGTGAATTGTTTGTGTGGCCTCTATGAGGAAAATCTGAGTTGCTCCAAATCGGATGGATCCCCATCTTCCGCTCTAATTCGTAAGTAGTGGGACAGGATTCATGATTGACATTTTCATTGCGCGCGGTTCCCCAAAAAGTGGAGGACCGCCTCTGGAATCTGACTACGAACCCCCATCATCTCCAAAACTGAAAAAGGAGGCCGAAAGGACCCCAACCAAATATGCGAGTAAGGTCCAGCTGTGGATGGATGCGAAATCCGTTCCCACCAGTGTTGAAGCCATTGGACACCGTTCGTTGGTTTTTTACCACGAACTCATTCCAGGGTTTTGTAGGTGGTGCGAAATGGACTGGACTTCGTCCATCCACAGCTCTGAAAAACCGTCCTCCACTTCCCAAAAATTGGTCTTCCGGAGCCCCCGGGTTTCCCAGGCGCCGGGTTTGTTTCCCACTCACTCGAGCGTTTTTTTAAAAGCAAAGCTGTGTCCCTTCGAAGCCAGCGGTTGTGTTCACGCGAGGTTTGCCACCATTTACAAGTTGCAATGTTCAGGTGTTTTCTTGTAAGGATCCCTGTCATGGGGGCAATGTTCAGGTGTACCTTGATTTTCAATGTCCCCTACAAATTCAGATGGGACCCCGAAAGCCGCTCCTCAGATGTTTTGCAAAGCTTCCTCCATAAATCCATCCATTTTGGGGGGGTTAATCCCAGGTTTTTTTTTTTGGGGGGGGGTTCCACGTTAAGCCGTTAAGCTGCAGGGGAATAGCCCACAACCAGAAGTGTCCTTTTTAGGTTGGCTTGGTTAAGTATGGGTGATGGGGTTCATCCCCTTCTCAGGGCCATCTACTGGTTCAAGGGCCACCTATGCCCGCAACCCCATTCGCAAGGTCCCCCAGTGCCCTTTGACCCTTTCTTGGGGAGGGGTCCCCTACTAAAATAATTAAACAAAAAAAATAAAAAAAAAATGGCGCCCTTCTTCTAACCTCTCTACCGGAGGACCTTGTTAGTCACAGAATAAGCGGTTGTTGGCCAGAGTCAGTGGGTAAACGCTGGACTTGTTTGGAAGATCTTCGGGGAAGGTAGACCCTACTTCTAACCTCTCTACTGGAGGACCTAGGCACCACTGCAGCCTCTCTTCTCCTAGGTGGGTGAGGGCTTCGATGTCAAGTGCGCTGGCGACCTCATGGGCAAGGAGCGGATTTTGTTTCCGGCTGATGTTCGGGGGCTACGGCCCTCTAGCATAGGCCTCCTTTTGATCGGTGAGTTTGGCTAAAAAATAGATGGGGTTCCACTGGTTTAGATGGGTTTTGTGCCATTTGCCAGGGAAACCCATCTGCTTTTCCAAGCGGCCACCCATGCCCCTTAGGGCCTGAAGCTTCATCAGGAGGAAACTCAAAACGAATTGTTGGTCGGGAGCAAGCTCCAAAGAACTTGGCCGGCAGAATTCCTCATGTGAATGATGTCCACCAAAGGTTGCCCAATTGAAACTCCTACTGACTCATGGCTATTGTAAGTATGTTGTTCATGTTCCTTGCTCTGCACGGCGTTGTTGCTTTGTTGTCCCGTGTTTTGTTTGTTTGCATCCACATAGCGAGTACAGCCAAAATAGCAAACTGTCAGGCACAAAGTGCCAATAAATCAACACACACACACACAAATTCACCCCCCAAAAAAAAAAAAACGTGTCGTAGACTGGTCCAGCGGAACCGACATGGGCGGCACGTGCCTTTTTTTTGCTGGTACCCCTGTTCTCACTTCTTGAGCTCTTGGACTTTAAGCTTTTGAGAGTTGGACCATTCTAGTCGTACCTAGAGTCTCCATGACCCGAATCAAACGTGGGTCATTGACCAACCATTATTTTGGGTAATGACCAACCATTTTTTAAGGGTCATGCAGACTCCAGGTAAATAAGCCGTCTGGACTTTTGTTGGCCAAGCCACTCGGAAAGCGAGCTGTTTTTTGTTTTTTTCACGTTATTGATTGAATGACACGAGCACACCGAAGCCATTTTCCGGGGTCTATCCTGAAGAAAGATGAGCCACTCATATCCGGCTGCAGGCCTTTTTCCCTGCACCCTGGCAACAGAATGCAGAAATCCATCGGCACCCCGAGGGTTGGTCCAGAAATGGGTGCCTCGTCTTTTCTAGGTTGGACCCCCCAAAATGGCTTTGGCTTTGGTTTTAGTTTCCCTTTTAAACCACACAAAAAGGAAAGGCTGCCCTCAAGAAAGGAGCGCAAATCAGTCTGGGTTCCTTGTTCCTTCGGTCTTCAATTGGGAGACAGCCTAAGTCGCGTCTCAGCCGGCTATGGGAATTCACACATGTATGCTAGGTCCCCCAGCTAGGTGCCGTTTTACCCTTTTTTGGTTGGGAGAGTTTCCCTACTAAAATAGACTATAGAGAGAAAAGTTGGTACCCTTATTCTAACCTCTCTACTGGAGGACCTAGACGTTTCTAGAACCTTGGTTTGTCGGGTTCTGAGGACCTTTCTGGTGCATGTAGTCAGCCTAAGGGACTTCACACATGGTATAGCTCGTGTCTTTTATGCGCTTGACGAGGGTTCGAGGGTAACCCCCGCAGCGACGTTTTTTCTTCTTCTTTTTTTCTCCGTTTCGAGGAGCTGGCGGCCTTTGGGAAGGTCCTCGAGTCCCCGGCCACCCCGGTGCTGGCCATCCTGGGCGGCGCCAAGGCCGGCCAACCTCTGGTCCCCCAGTAGGGCCCTTTTACCCTTTCTTGGGGAGGGTTCCCCTACTAAAATAGACCACAGAGAAAAACTCGCATGGTGGTTGTTGGGAGACATTCTGCATTTTGGCTTATTGTGTTTGAGCGGGAAATCCCCACCTAGCTGCTAAAAATTAGACTTTTGCTCCCCTTCCAACGTCAACTGAGCTCGGGGCCAACCACCTTCCGGGAGGTTTCGTTTTCATTTTTCCCTGCTGGTTTTGAAGGGGATCTGTGACTACTGGACATATTCTTTCGAGGGGGCTTAAAGAAATTGAGGCAAACGCGCGAACAAATCTGGGCCTCTGGGCTTCTTCCCAGACACCCTCGCGCACTCACTTGAGTGCACCCTCACACTCCATGCAGGACATTCTTCACATTCTGCAGGACGCCTATTTCTACGTTACCCGCCTTGCGCCACAACGGATATGCCTCACCCTGCGTGCGATAAATTGGTGGCTCAACGCATGGGCTGCAAGTTCAGCTCAGTTGAGCTTCGACCTTTTGCTGCGAGTGAGTCTTCAACGCGGAACTCTGGGAATCCAACAATCGGCTGGTCTTTTGGGCGATTCGCGCAAGTTCTCACATGTTGTTCCCTTTTTTTTCTCAGCAAGGGGGCACCATAGCTGCTTGAATGAGTTTGTTCCCCGGCCTTGCCTTTCTTTGTAGCGTAATTTGTTAGATGTTTGTTTTGCGCTGTTTGGTTTGCTTTTTGATGATTCATAGTCTTGCCGCGTGGTCGTCAGTGTACGTTGCTTTCACTCGAAGTGGCTTCTTCTTGCGGATATTGCATTCTCTTGCCTTGCTTGCCTTGCTCGCCTTCCCTTGTCATGTCTATGTTGGTTGCTTTACTCTGCTTTGCATGTGCATTGGCTACTTTATCGTTGCTCCTGCTATTTAGAATTTGCCTTTGTGATGAATAGCTCTTTGGCTCGAGTTCTGGATTTGGCTATGCCTTTGAACAGGTCACTTACCTCGTTGGATATGAGTCCCGCGGTGTCATAGACCCGCTTTCCGGGTCCCATCGACCCATCGCCCCGTGGAGTCGCCAGGTGAGCGACAAGATCCAGCTGATCATGAACATGCTGGACAAGGCGCAGGGCGCGAGTTTCGTTTTGTCCAGAACCAGAGCCAAAAGGCCAAAAGACCTCAACAAGACAAGGCTGTAATTTAAGACCTGGAGCGAACCATGCCCACCAGAAAGTCTATGCGAGTTTTGTTTGTTGTCCAGAACCAGAGCCAAAAGACGAACACTGCTATTGGGCAACGGATCTTTAGACTAACTTTTTGGTTGAAATAAAGGTGGTTTCCACTAAACCCGCAAAAAATATATTCACTTTTTGCAGGGGGGTCAACAGCAATCAAGAAGACGGCAACAAAACCAAGGTTGGGCGTTGATTTTCCTGGAGCGAGACAAGCCCACCAGAGCATCTATCCAAAACCTGGTTCCCATTGGATCCCATGCAAGCCCCGCAAATTGCAATAAGAAATCAGCCAATCTTCTCTTGGCTTTTCTATTTGTGTTCCCTTGAAGTTACTTACTATAGACGCTAGGGCCAGTAGTGCCCTTTTACACTTTTTTGGGGGAAGGTTCCCCTACAAAAATAGACTACATACAAAAGGGTAACCTTATTCTAACCTCTCTAATCTGGAGGACCTAGTCGAGGTAAATGGAATCACTTTGATGGTGTATCGCATTCCACAAGCCACAAGCTCAGCATGTTGTTTCTGCATCCGGTGTGGCCAAAGCGAGTCGGCCTTCGCCCTGAGGTTCCCGTACCCCATCCCAATAATGGGGGCTTGTCACCCACAAAAGTGGAGGATACGGGTGTCCCCTGACGCATCGCACTTGTTTGCAACTGATAAACGAAGAAAGACAAAACCTGGCGTGATGAACCGAGGGCTTTTGGTTGTACGTCTTTGGTTCCGAGGGTTCTGAGGCAAGGGCTGCCCAATGATCGCCGGACGATTGGTTGCTCATTGGCCAGCACCATGTGCACTATGTGCGGTGGAGTTTGTGGGCGGCATACAGGTTTTCTGCGGCCCGGGATGTGTGTTGCCCAACTGAGCCACAATCAAAACCCGGGTAGATGAAGGTTAGTAAGGGGCAGTCCCGGCCAGAAATAGTTGCGAATACCCGCCTTCTTAATTCTTTACATGCTTCTGGGTAGACCATTTTAATACCGGGTGTTGATTGGGCTCAACTGATGACAAAGGAGCTTTCCACAACCTTTTTTCCCGGACGTTCGGGCTTGAACGGGACTGGTTTGTATGATGCTCCTTGCGTCAACCCCGGGTATGGCTTGGGCTTGGGGCTTCTTTGTTTTGGGCTAGAGGAGGACTTTCCTCGAATTGGAGCAGACAGGAGGCTTTACACTTTTGCAGCTGAGTTTAAATTGTGGAAGGATCCCAAATCAGTGCTTCCTAGTATTTTCTTGCGTTCAACCCACACCAAACCAGGTGTAACCAAAGAGTTTGCACAGTCAAGGAACGAAGGAGAAGAAGCATGCAGCAGCAATCACGACAACCCCACACTTGTCCAATTTGTTTTGATAGAAAAAGGGAACTCCTGCTCCAGCTTAAAAAAACAGGTATGATGCCTTTGTTTTCCTACAAAAAAAATGGGAGCTAAAAAAAACAAAAACGTGTGTTGGTGCTTTCGAGGGGAGCAAGCCCAGTGAAGGGGGTCCGAAGACATTTCAGGTGAACAAGATGATCATTGGCGGCGGCATGGCGTACACCTTCCTGAAGGTCCAGGCGAAGATACTGATGCCGAGGGGTGTGAGCCCAGTCCAGTCGACCAACATTCAAGGTATGGGTCTGAATCTAGACAGTCCATGTGTTTTGCCTTTGTTTCATGCAGTGTACGCATATATATATATATATATATGTGTTATATGATTGAATGCGTACGTATGTGCGTTACGTATGCAAATTGATATCATCTACGTACCTGGAGTCTCCATGACCCTTAAAAAATGGGTCAATGACCAACCATTATTTTGGGTAATGACCAACCATGTTTTGTCAGAAGGAGACTCCAGGTCTACTTTTCGTTGGCCAGGTTTCTTTTCGAAGGGTGCAGGGCACCCTCGAAACCAAAATAATGACACCCATACTATGGATGGGCAAAATCCATGTCGCACCACGTAAGAAACACTGGAAGCGATCCCCCGTCAAATACCAAGAAACGAACACGTCCATCCGCAGTATTTGCCAGCAAGCTTGGGTTCCATGTGAAAAGGGTGGGAGGGTAAGTCTTAGCGTAAAACAACCATTTGGGGCCATAGACCAAAAGCAGCGGCAGCGCTCAAGGCGCCGGCTTGAGGTTGAACACAGGCAGGGGTAGCCCTGCGTCCATTTGCTGAAATGAATATGTCTTTATGTCCCCTGTTTGTGTTCAAGGCCAATTTCACTCCGGGAAATAGTGTCTCATTTGTTCCAGGGGACCTCTCAGCAAACGGAAGCCCTGATCAATGAATCTTGCCAATGTTCGCCTTTGTGCACTGGATATATTTTCTCAATGTTTTCTAGGGGACTTCACAGTGGAAGTTTTTGGGTGTGTCCCTCGAACCAAAACTTGGTAGGATCCGTATCCCAGCATCCCAGCGGCGAACGATTGGTGAGGCTCTGAAGTCGGGTATGGGTCAAAAATTTTCAATCAGCTAGTCCCCCAGTAGTCGTGCCATTTCTCACCTTTTTTTTGGTTGGGAGGGTTCCCCTACTAAAAGAGACTACAGAAGAAAAAAAAAAAAGTGCCCTTATTCTAACCTCTCTACTGGAGGACCTAGTCAGGATATGGACTGCAGGTTGAATCCCATTCACCAGGGCAGCGATTTGAGACATTTTTCGGAATCGTCCTTGTTTGCATTTGCCCAGATAGCCCTACCCTGCTGTGGATGGTTGCAAATTCGGCTTCGCACCACGAAATGAAACCATGGTCGAAACCATATCATTTGTTTCTATTTACAGGGGAATCGAATGATTCCAGGGTTTCTTAAGTGGTGCAGGATTTCGTCCACACATGACTCCAACTTGAATAATGTTTGCACTCGCTCCTCGCCCTCCTTAAGACCAATCCAAGTAAAGCGATGTTTTGCTTGCCAAGTATTTTGTTCAATGCAACATTTCTACGTAGTATAAATGTCAACAGTATTACTGTATCACTGTATGTTTGTATTTCTGCATTACTGTATTACTGTATGACTGTGTCTTTGTATTGCTCTATTGCTATATTACTGCATTACTGTTTGTGTTAGTAAATGTTGTAGACTGTTTGTAGTAGCGAATGTTGCAGACCGTTTGTATTAGTGAATGTTGTCATCCCTTCCTATTGTTAAGTCTTCCCCAAAATAACGATTTTGCTTAGGGAATGCATATTGTTCTAAGAGGTCCCAGGGGGTTTAACCAGTCTGCCGAGCAACAAATTTATAGGAGTTGCTCCAGGCACTTTTGGATTCGTCAGGTCAAAATTGAAAGACAACATTAGAATTACAATTTGCAACTTGAGCATATGCAAAGAAGGGAAGTGCGAACGCACCTCCCAAATGAGGGCTGTTAGGAGTTAAGTTTTGGTTTAGTAGGGGAATGTTAGTTTTTTGGGCCTGAACAAAAACATATTTACTCATGTGTGAGTCAATGTTGTAGATGTGTGTATTAGGAAACATATTGTAAACTGCAACACTTGGAGCTACAGCCCTTTCTGTTTTTGCGGACGAGGATGCAATCAAGAAAGACTGCAGGACTTGTCTGTTGCTTTTTTCAGATCTGGCGCAAGCCTTCCCCCAGAAAGGGCTGTGGCCTTGTTGCAACTTTGCACTTATGTTGTTCAAGCGGGGGTGCGGGGGCTTACTTGTTCAGTGACACCATCTACATCTGATGTTTTCTCACTGCCTGGAGCACCCTTCGTTGCCTGAATTTCTGCCCTTAGCCCAAACGTATTGCAAAGCCAGGGGTCGTCATCAAAATATGGTAAACGTACACTTTTTCCTGCTTCGAGCGTTTTTCTCAAGACCGGGCTGGTCGGTCCTCCAGATGATCGGTCGCTGAAATGTCGAAAGGAGCGAGCAGAAATCAAATGCAAAACGAGCGCAAATATCCGCAAAACGAGCGCACACATCCGCAAACGAGTGCATTAAAAAAAACAACAACAACGTAACAATGCCCGCCTTCCTCTGGATGGAAGAAGGGGATTTGGTCGAGCGTTTTTCGGGGGGCGGGCGTTTTTTGGGGGGTCAAGCAGAAATCGGTAATTCGAGTGTTTTTTTTCTTGTACCTAGAAAAAAGGGCACGTTGGGTGCCTCAGGTGAAAATAGTCCTGGACCCAAAGACCAGGTTTATCCAGGTTTTATCGCTTCCTACTGCGAAAGATCTAAAATTCATCACGACCGTCACTGGTGGCAACTGGGGGAAGGACTTGCTGGTACTCAGGAGGGCATGAGAAATGAATTACCACTATAAACCATCCACACAAGGTTTCCTTTAAGGGAATCCCGACTTGTGCATAAGAGGATTGGGAAAACTGGCACCGCCAGAACGGCATGTCCATTGGCACCTCTCTCTACGACGAGGAGGGCGCCAAAATCGTGCCCGAGATCCTCGAGAAGGAATCTGGGCAAAGAGTTGAACCCATTTGGAGGCTATATATATATATAGTTGTGTATGCATATACAATTATATGTATATATATATATGTATATATATATATACATTTGTATATGTCAATTATTTGGTATATATATATATGTACACATATATTTCAGGCTTGCAAGGAGCGTAGCTCCACGGACAGCTTCCCTGGACGCTTGGGCGCATCCTCCATCCTAGGTAACTTGAAGGGTGGGGCTCACTCCCCGAGTCCTGGTTGGGTTTGGGCCCATGAAAAGTGCGGCGGGTGTGACTTTCTCCCATGTTGATCGAGTCGATCATGCTTTGAATGTGGGTGAAGGGTTTGCAAGGCCCTTGTCGCTGACCGCTATTTGTCCATAGTAAACAAAAGTCCAGTTGACAATCCGCGGAAGCGAGCCAACTGCTTTGAGACAAAGCTGGAGAGAAGTGGCCAATGACCACGAGTCTGGGTGGCCAGTTGGCCAGTTGGCTGAGGATCAGACCCTGCTTTCTTGACCGCCATGTTATTTTTTTGTGTCCTCCCCATCATCAAAAACCCATGGAGCTCCAACAAAAGCCAATTCAGGTCAGGTGTGTTGTGCCCTGCGGATCTTAGGCCAAGACGTTTCTTTTTGATGATTTTTTCCTCTGAGCAGGTGGGAAAAACAAGCCGTCTGGAGACAAGAGCGCCAAGACATTCTGCTACCAGACAAGCGAGAAATAAACCGCATTCGCGGAAAACCTGCCGGCGTAGCACAAAACCTGGAAAATGGCTGAAAATAGCACACATAGGAAGTCCCCCCTGGAATCTCGAAGATGAGTAGGAAAACGCTGAGAAAAAAAGCGTCACTGGAGGCCAAGAAGCTGAATGTGGAGATCATCCTGCCGGTGGACTTCACTTGCTCCTCCAAGTTCGGTGAGGATGGCGAGATCAAAGAAGGCCCCGGAGTGAGCCGATCTGACCTTTTCTAGGTCCAGCCAGGTGCCCTTTCTCACCCCTTTTTTGGGGGAGGGTTCCCCTACTAAAATAGACTACAGGAAAAAGGGTACCCTTATTCTATCCTCTGCGCTGGAGGACCTAGTACCTTTTGGTTTCCGAACATATTTGGTGCATAGAAACCCAAAATACTGTGGATGGGCGAAATCCATGTCGCAGCACCTAGGAAACCCAACGGAATGATAGGATTCCCCCTGTAAGTACCAGCAAACATTGCTTTCCCATCGTTTGAAAGTGGTGCAGGATTTCGTTCATCCACAGTATGATCACCTTGGAAAGAAATGTCCCGGTCCTTTGGGGTGAGTGTGATTCCGAAGTGGTTGTAGGGGTGAATGACTTCAATGGTTTAGGTGTTCTGATATAGGTCAGCATTAAATGTAGCTTGTATTTTACCTCATGGATGAATTCTTCAGGCGGAGCTTCGCCTAAAAGGAATCCTTGAAGACTCTGCGAATCGGCGCTTTGCGAATCGGCTAAGGCGACCTACCAGTGCAGCGCTTGGTTTTGCAAGGGATGGATGAGACATAATCTAGGTCCCCCAGTAGTGCCCTTTTACCCCTTTTTTGGGGGAGGGTTCACCGACAAAAAATGACAACAACAAAAAAAAACGGGTACCCTTATTCTAACCTCTCAAATCTGGAGGACCTAGTGACTAGTGATACTTCCAGTACTGAAACCCATTCCCGCCCATTCCCACTCTGCCAAACAGTTATCCGTTTCCCTGAAATAGGGACCCAACAGGTCGGACTCCTCGCCTGGAACGAATTGCATTTGACTTGATGTCGTTGTCGGGTTTCCACTCACTGACCCTGAAAGAGGGCCCCTGTAAGCGATTGCAAGTTCGTCCAATTTCGGAGGGCTACGGTCAACCAACACACACACACTTATATCATAGCAAAATCTATATATATATATATATATAGAATACGTAGAACAATAGAATAATACACATAATATATCTTCTACACAGTGGCATGTGTATATATATATATACACATGTGTATATATGTATATATACTATAATATAATATATTATAATATAATATAATACGACATAACATAATAATATATATATATATATGGTACCCCCCCCCCCTTGTGCCTAGGTGTTGCTTGATTTCAGTCGTTTTTGTCAGGTAATTTTGCCTTTGTTTGGCCAAACTTGGGCACCAAGGAAGGGGTGTGTGGCACAATTCAACAATTAAGAATTCTGGAGATTGCTGGGAGACGTTCAATGTGACAATCTGCAATTCAATATTCAATATTTCAAAACAATATTTTCTGGAATTCCATAATATTGAACCTTGCATCCCATTTGTGTTCATATATGAGATTCAAGATTCAAGATTTCAATATAATATGTTTCTGGGAATCTTGAATCTTGAATCTTGAATCTCATTTTTGTTTATACATGGGATTCAAGATTCAATATTTCAAAATATTATATTTTTTCTGGGAATCTTGAATCTTGAATTTTGAATCTCATGTTTAAAAACACAAATGTGGGATTCAAGATTCAAGATTCATTTTTTTTCAAACATATTATTTCAATCTCGAATCTTCAATCCAGTGGTAAAGTGCGTTCGAGGTGTTAGAACAGCTTGAGCATTTTGTTTAAAAACACAAATGTGGGATTCAAGATTCAAGATTCATTTTGTTTCAAACATATTATGTCAATCTCGAATCTTCAATCCAGTGGTAAAGTGCGTTCGAGGTGTTAGAACAGCTTGAGCATTTTAGGGATTGACCAGGATGGATCTCAGGAAAGTTGTTTTTTGTGCACTCCTCAATATTGAATCCTCAATCCAGTGGTAAAGCACTTTCAAGTGTTAGAATAACTTGAATGTCGTTTGGGTTTGGCCAGGATTGACAATTCTCAGGACTTCTCAAATATAATTCGTATTAACTATGGCTAGGGACTTCTACAAGGAAGTTCAAAATACAATTTGTGGTATTCACATTCTGGGCCTTTGTAGCATTGAAAAAAGCTGACATTAAACTTATTAGACGGTGTTCCAAAGGGAAATTTCAAGGGAAGATAGGTTCAAATTCTAAAACTATCTCGAAGCAGGGATTCTAGCTAAATCAGTTGTATTTAAAGTTCTATTTGCACAGGAAACAAAATTCATTCTATCTCAAAAGGTGAAGGTAGTAGATGAGCAAATGCGGACAGGTAGTTCAAGAGGGGGGGGAAGTGTGTGTGAACATACATACATATGTATATCTATATACGCACATACACGTATATACAATTCCCCTAATGATCCTGCGCCTCTTCATAGCTGACATGAAGCTTACCAAAAGCACTTGCAAGTTTGTCTAACCGACAAACTTGAAAGTGTTTCCACTGGATCGCTAAGCACTTGAAAGTATTTTACCACTGGATGGAAGATTCAAGATGGAAGATTACACAGAACACTTAGTCTCTATTTGATTGTTATTATCAAAAGCTGATTGAATTGTGGTCGAATTAGATTCTATTTAACACTTAAGATTGTATTTGGGAAAACACTCCTATCTAACTTCTTTTGTTAAATATTGGTTGGAGTTTACCCGAAACCATATTTCATTTTCATGTACCTCCTATTTGGAAAGGATTTGCATATTTGAGCTGTAATTGAACGTAAACACATTGTTGAAAACTATATCCTTACTAAATTATATTCAAAATTCCAATGCTAGTTGAAGTAACACCCTATTTGGAAAGCGTATCATTTTGGGACATTCTGGAGGACTCCGGGCTTCAAATCAGGCTTTGGGGACCAACAATTGGAAATTTCGAGAATACATTTTGAGATTCTAGATTTGCCATCCCCAAAAAGCAGTAAAAGTGCTTAACATCTATTGCAAAATATCTAAACTCTACAGCCTGCGCGCTGAAATCAAGCAAAACCTAGGCACCAGGGCGGGGACGTAGCATATATATATATATATATATTCCCCCTTGTAATGTAAATCTCCCCGGGTTCAGGCACCCTCCCCAAAAAAAAAGAATTGCGGTGCGCCCCCCCCCTTTTCCCGCCAAAACACCCCCGCCTTTTTCGTTCTGTTCTTTGCTTTTCGCACGGGGCGGCTTTTAAATGCGGACGAAGCAGGCGTGCAGCTGGCGGAGGGCATCCCGGAGGGCTTCATGGGCCTGGACTGCGGCCCCGCGTCCGTGGAGCTGAACGCCAAGGCCGTGGCTTCGCGCGAGGGGCAAAGGGGCGGGCGAAGGGGAGGGGCTGGTGGCTGGGCCAGCGGCGTGTTTTTTTTTTTTTTTAGACCCCCAGGTTTTTTTCTTTTCTTTAAGACCCCCCCCCCCCTTCCCGGCCGGGTCGGTCTGTGTTTTATGATGCTGGGTGAGTTATAGCGATCTTATATGACCAAAACACCAAATGGTGGTTTATGTGGAAAATATCCGCCCAACCACCTTATTTCAGGTTGGTGAAATAATGTTATAATTCACATGTGTTGCTTTTTTCCCAGGGAAGAAGGTTTGGAGAGCCACCAGTTAGGTCTAGAGACCAACCTTTGTGGTTCCAAGGCGAAAGCTAGTCGTGGGGTTAGTTTAAAAAGGAAGGGAACCAGTCGTTATGTATGCAGTTTGCTGTTTTCAGACTGTTTCCAGAATGCTGGGTTCCAATGAAACTGCAATGCGTGTGCAGGTTCCAAAAGGGAAACATATCGGGACCCCTGTGTTCCCAGGGCCTACAAGGGCCCGGGTGAAATAGGCCACAGGATTGCTGCGGTGGCGGCCTTCGGGAGCCAATGCTCGCAGGTCGGCAGGTCGGCTCCGTTTGTGTGTGTTTGTGTGTTTGTCATGTGAGTGGGGTTGTGCATCAGTACATGTTACTCTTTTTTTTGGCCGGGAAAGCGACTGAAAATAGGAATTTGTAGTATAGCCGAATCACAGGGACAAGACTGTTTGATTTGGCGCGCATTGTGGGAGTGTTGGTTGCTATGCTTGTAGGCATTAAGTGTGTTGTTGTTTGTGTCCTGTGGCTTGAGACTACTTGGGTGCAGACACTTTCAGTATAGCAGGGTCCAAACCAATGCTACCATTTTGGGGTAGGTGGATTCACCAACCATTTTAGTCTATTTTAGTGGGGCTTGGGATGTTCACTGGGCTACGGGATGAAGGGACCCAGAACAGGTGTTTCACAAACAAAAACATGGGGAATGTGAGACATTGGCACCTAGAGTCTCCATGACCCGAATAAAAAATGGGTCATTGACCAACCATTATTTTGGGTAATGACCAACCATTTTCTAAGGGTCAGAAGGAGATTCCAGGCAGAGATCCAAATCGAACAGTCCAGGCGGTCAAGGAGAGCAAGACCATCATTTGGAACGGCGCCTCGGAAACCCAGCGAACGGTTCGCTTGGAGGTGGAGACCGAAGCTGTGGATCCACCTCTGTAGGACGGTAAAAAAGCACTAAAAGAGTACGAAAGAAAAAAAGGAAGCTACGGCGAAATGCGCAACAAAGGCAAATCCAAAGCCGTTTCCTAGAGGGTTTTGTTGGATCCTTTTCATGTTAAGGGATGTGTTGGTATTTTCGGCCTCGCATCGCTATGATCGAAAGTTCAATAGGCCAGCCCACGACGGTTCCAGACCAATCAAAACCGGTTTGGACCACGCCTTGGCCAGCGTGGGGGGGCGGTGCATTTGCGCTTGAGGGGGTCACAAGTGCATTTGCCTTATTCTAACCTCTCTACTGGACCTAGAACCAGCAAAACTGGGCGGCTAAAGGCTCTGGAATCTCGCGGCACAAGTTACAGCTACTGCTACTTGAGTTTCTACACTGCCACTGGGTTTTGGCGCGGGTTACGACTGAGCCCAGGTCAACTTGTTCTCGTTCTCTTTGTGCCAATTCTGGGTCCCAGTTCATTAAGAACGCCTGTCTTCGGTGAACTTCCATTTGCTTAAGAATAATTGTATGTTTTTCGTTGTTGGTTGTAAAAGGAATGCATCACTACTGGAGATGTTTTTTACTATGTCTAGAGGTCTTAGCCAAATGGAAGGGAAGGTGGCTAAAAAATAACTCATAAAAAAAGCAAAAATAATCTAGAGGTCTTAACCAAATGGAAGGGAAGGTGGCTAAAAAATTGACTTCCACCGAAAAAGACGGCACGACTCGACTCCATTTGGACACACGCCTCGAGGACCCATGGGCGTCTTTGAGATGGCCAAGTTCGAGACCGGCACGATGCTTGACAAGCATTCTAGGGTTACCTCCCCAATTCTTTCCAGGGATCCGAATCTTTTCAGGAATCCATCAAAACCCAGGGAAACCGCTGTTTTTTTGCAAAGAACGATGGTTGTTTAGACCAAAGTTGGCTTCGTGTTGACTTAACTCACACTTGCAGGATTTCCAAAAAAATACCGTTGTTTCCTCTTGGGGCGCACTGAGCTTCGTGTTCACTTAAACAAGGTCCCCCAGCTAGATGCCCTTTTCAAAACCCCCTTTTTTGGTTTGGAGGGTTCCCCTACTAAAATAGACTACAGGAAAAAGGGTACCCTTATTCTAACCTCTACACTGGAGGACCTAGTAAATCGCACTTGCAGGACTCCCTAAAACACCCACAACTCGGAACGTTGGTTTCTGATCTTTTATGTTGTTGTTTCCTATTGGGGAGCACTGAGCTTCGTGTTCACTTTAAACAAGGTCCCCCAGCTAGATGCCCTTTTCAAAACCCCCTTTTTTGGTTTGGAGGGTTCCCCTACTAAAATAAACTACAGGAAAAAGGGTACCCTTATTCTAACCTCTCCACTGGAGGACCTAGTAAATCGCACTTGCAGGATTCCCTAAAAAGCCCACCACTCAGAACGTTGGTTTCTAATCTTTCATGTTGTTTTTTCCTTTTGGGGCGCACTGAGGGACGCACTACCAAAGTCGGCTATACTGATGAACCAAGAGGTGGTTTGAAGGCAAGAACAACAAGAGCTCTCGCGGCAATAAATCGAGCCTTGAGTTGATGTTTTTCTTCATTTGGGTGTGGCTCAAAATTAAACAGGGGGGGGTTACGCAGGTTTTGGTCCATTTTTCCACTTCCAGGGTTCCATTCTTGTACTGGTTTTTTGAGCCGCAGCCATTTGCTTCTCGTTGCCCTTTGTGCCGGACATCTGTCGGGCCCTTCCTCCACCTCACCCGCCTTCCCAAGTTGTAACTAGGGTTTTGGTCTTCTCAGTGGCAGCAACTCCACTGGTTACCCATGATGTTATCTAGAAGGGCTTGGAGAGAGAAGGGGAAGAAGGTGACAATGGAAAGCACCGGGGAAAATGAGACAGAGCAGAAGGGGGGCAAAGGGTGCGGCATTTTAGGGAGGGAAGCAAGCGGGAAAACGGTTGGGTTCCCTTGTGTTTTTGCCTTCGAGAAAAGGGAAAAGGGAAAAGGCTGCGGAAGACAAGTGACAGAGAGAAAAATCAAAAGGGAAAGCAACAGAGTCGGATTTCGTGAGACCATGTTTATGCGCATCTTGGCATGGTGAAAGAGACCCTTCAAAAAAGCACGCAGTTTTATGCGCAATGTTGCCTCTGTGCGCTTGGCCACTGTAATTGGGCCAACTCTCCCCAATGTCCTTGGTTTAGCTGCTCACGAAACCTTATCCGCTTGCCTCCAAGCTTTTACAGATTCTTGACAAGAACCACAGTGTTTCTTAACTTGGATCAACCCGTCGTTTCTTGACTTCGTCCAACCTGTCGGAACTTGCACCGAGGGCAAAGTGAAAGCCCGCCCCAACCTCTGAACCACCAAATCCAAACAAACGGGAAGAGAGGCTGAGATTGGAGACTCGAAGACATGATGGATGCCAAAAGGAAGCTTAGTTTGGAGACTCGAAAGCACGTTGGACAGTGGAAGGACACCGGAGAACCACCCAGCACCCCCCAGGAATGACAGCCTGTTGGACAGCACTTGGGGTTCAGGAAGCGGTCGGCAAGCGGGCAAGAGTCGGCAAGAGGGCCAACCAAATGGGTTTGTGTGTGTGTGTGTTTTTGGGGGTCCCTGTTGACGTTGACGGGCTGATTTAGAGGGAACCAACCAGAAAAAGGAAAACTAATGCGATAAATTTGCCCAAATCTGTCAAAACGGCCCCCAGAATGTGGATTTCGGTGTTCCTGTCGATTTCCCTTTTAGAGAAGCCCAAGCAAGCGGGTACCAACTCCAAAAACCGGCGACCGACCCAAAGGGATCGAGTGACGGGAATTTCGAGGAAGAAGCTCATGGACACCATCGTGGAGGTTACCGCCGCGGGCGTCATCACCGTGATCGGAGGCCGCACGCGCTCGAAGTTGTTTTTCTTCTTTGAAAAAGAAAACAACATAATATATATATATATATATATATATATATTTGTGTTTGTGTGTTTTTTTGTGTGAAGCCCCTCCCCAAAACGGGCGCGAAGATATTATTCCAGTGAATCCCAGGCAAGCCCTTAGAGTAGGACAAACTGTCCTTTTGGTGTTGGATTTGGGTGGCAAGCCCTTGGTTACCTACTGGACAGGTAAATGGAATCACTAGGTATAGGGAGCCCCCAGAACGGGAGATAAGATCGGAGATCATCGGACGTTAAAGTAGAGAGCAGCCAGAAATGGGAGGTGTGTGTGTCTTTTCTTTCACCCAAAAGAATATCCGCAAAGCCCTTGCCGCAAAACAGCATAACAAGGTCCCCCAGCTAGGTGCCCTTTCTCACCCCCTTTTGGGTGAGGGTTCCCCTACTAAATAGACAACAGAAAAAAGTCAAAACATCGGGCACCCTTATCCTCTCCACTGGAGGACCTGGCAATAAGGTTCTCCGAGGTTTGGGGATGGTGACCAAAACGTTTGGAACCCAAAGTCACTGGGTTTCTGCCGCCCGCCGTGATTTGCAAATGGACGGCTGGGAGGCTGGGGCTGTTTGGACGTTGCTGCTGCTTCCACTAAAGTTGATATGGAAGGGCAACCACGTCATGTGGTAGAACATGTAGTGCCCAAACGATTTTGGTACTCAAAGACCTGCATTTGTTTAAGAATATTTCCCCTGGTTGGTTTTAAAGGGAATCGCTTTCACCACTGGACATGTTTTACTTGTTTTCCAGGGGGCTTAAGCAAATGAAAGATTTGGTTTTGCAACCTTTCAATCGTCGTGGGTCAGGTGTCACGAGATTGCATAGAGCAAGGACCTTTGTTTTCTTCTTTTGTTGAGAATGACTGGGAAGTGTCCAGCCGTTTACTAGCAACCGACAGCTCAGTTTTTGGAAGGGGTCAGAGATCAGCCCAGTTTCAGAAAGATTGAGTTCACCCGACAAAGCTCAGCCAGAAGTTGGGAATCAAGTTGCCAAGAGAAGTTGCAGTTGGGGAACGTTGGTTTGACACGTCGGTGAGATACTGGCTCAAGGGAAGCTAGACAAGTGTGAACACGAAGGATCAATCGGTCCCTGCCGGTACAGTTTGGGATCTTAGACACTTAGTTGGATCTTACTGTCACTAAGTATCCAAAATGTTAAACTAAGGCTTCTTAGACACTTAGTCACTCCTGGGATCTCCTGCGTTGGGAAGTGTGAGCCGGAAAGCTTGGGCGGTGCGTGTCCGCTGGCTTGTTGCTTGCGTCGGCGCCTGGCGAGTCAAAGACCTTCGCACTTGCTCCAAAGCTAGGCCGACCTTGGCAGAGGGCCATCCTATGCTTGACCCAAAAAATTAGCGACCCCAAACAAGCATTTCAATAGGCCCAAGTGATATCTCCCCAACAGCCCCGGAACCTTCTGGATTCCTCCTGAGCAGAGACCCCATAGCTGTCGGCTATAGGGATAAAACACTTGTTTGTTCGCCTTGAATTCCCCCCAAAGCTGAAAGATGAAAGTGATCTGCCCTATACATGGTTGTTGCTGGGAAACATGTTACATTTTTGCTTATTGTGGTTGCGTGGTTGAAATCCAACCACTTAACTGCTAAGATTTAAATTTCTGCTCCCCTTCCAACGTCAACCAATTATAGCTGCCCGATGGGGGAAAAAATGGTGGGCGGATGAAACTCAAAAGTGGGTTCCCATTGAGACTTTCAGGCGGTGACACCGCCACGGCCTGCAAGAAGTACGGCACCGAGGACAAGGCGGCACGGGCACAGCGCACCGAATGCGCTCACATGGGCATGTGTCAAAACGAGCCACTTGCTCAGAACCCTTTGGTAGATATTGTTAGGCCAATCCGGAATTGAGAGCTTGGATCTGTTTAAGGGTGAACGTCGAAGGCCTGTCTGCGAATTTGTGTTTGATGTTGGCACTTGGCCTTCGCCTGAGCCAAGTCCAAAGTGAGCGTTTTGAGAGTTCCTCGAAGGTTGCAAGACTTTGAGGGTTGCTTTCCTAACCAACCATAGATCAGGCAACCCTTCACTGGTTTGGATCGGTGGTTTGGGGATTTGTGCTCATGGTTCTTGTTCAGGGTACTCTCAAGTTACCCTTGGGGGCAGCTGAATTCAGGGGGTGAGGATGTCGCTTTCCCTGGTGGTTCCCAGTCATCCGGTTCCTTAGACATTTATTTCGGTTTTTAGTTGGTTCAGTGGTAGTTTCCACCACACCGTTAAAAGTTACCCTCCCTCCCCCTATGTTCCCCAGAGGACACTGATCTTCCTACTAGGAACAGCCTAGTTGCTTCCAATCGCTTAAGCCCTCGATTTTCACAAAATACAACTATGTCCAGTAGTGATATCGATTGCCTTTAAATCCAAGCAAGGGAAAACAACCAATAATCATTTCAGCAAATACTTTTAGCTGGGGATCTGGGAACATGCAAATAATATTTGATGCATTTGGCTTGGATGTTGGGACTTTCACTTTTTGCCAACTAACGGGTATTCCGTATTAAACCACTAAAAGTGAAACACTTTTAGCAGGGGAGCAGATTTCGCAACCGAGTAATGTCAGCAAGTGGAAGGTAGCCCACGTAGCACGCCGCACCCAACTTGTGAGGTGACTCACTGCAGCACTGGCGGCGGTGCCTCCTTGGAGCTTTTGGAGGGCAAGGACGCGATGGCTTTCCTGGCGGTGAAAAACAGTGTGGCTCAAAATGAAACACCTAGAGTCTCCATGACTTTAAACATGGGTCATTGACCCCATTATTTTGGGTAATGACCACATTTTTTAAGGGTCATGGAGACTCCAGGCAGCTACTAGGTTTTCCATTGCCCTTTCTCACCCTCTTTTATGGAGGGTTCGATTACAGCAAAAAGTTGGTGCCCTCATTCTAGCCGCTCCACTGGAGGACCTAGGGTCACGCAGGTGTCAGTCTTTGTTTCCATTTACCTATTGGGGCCCTATTGGGTGGGTCCATGTTTTTGAGCCACCGCCATTGAGATGTTCACTCGAGGTCCGTTTCGGAAACTTGAGGTCCATGTGGGAGTGGCTCTAAATTGAACAAACCGCAGGTTTTGGTCCATGTTTCCATTTACCAGGGTTCCATTTTGAGTACCGGCGGACATGTTTCTCCCCGAATTTCGATGTCCACTTTGGGCCAATTACATTACTCAGTGGTTCGGTGGCACCCTTTTCCCTTTTTTTGGTGGCTGCACGCCACGGAAGGTTTGCTGAAAGTCCCCCAAGCATCTCAGAGTAGCCCGTCAAGTTCTGACGACAAGTCTGCGGCGCCAAGCAGCTTGGGGGCTAAGGCTCTAAGGCAAAGCTCGAAAAGCTGAAACGCGGAGCTCTGGAAAGCCCTTTGCCGCTCTTGCGTCACGAAAGTGGTGGTTGAAGAGCTCGCCCAAAGCGGAAGCGCCGCGAAAGTGCAATGTTTGCAGTCTCTATGTAGAGTTTGGATCCCATTTTGGGCTTGTGAGGGCAGGTTGCGCAGGTCATCGTGGACAGCCACAAGTGCCGTTTGAGCTTAGCCGAAATCCCAGAATGCTGCCGAATTCTGCGATAGCTCTGCGAAAGCTCCAAATGCCCCCAAGAAAGGATTCAAGATCCCCCAGTATTGCCCATTTACCCTTTTTGGGGGGGAGGGTTCCCCTACTACAATAGACTACCGAAAAAAAGGGTACCCTGATTTTAACCTCTCCGCTGGAGGACCCAGGATTCTCACATCCCGTTTGCTTCGCTTTGTAAATCCAACCGACGGAGCAAGAAACCGCCCGCTGCCTACATAGATGGCCCGGCTCAGCAAAATTCCGCCGAGGCTCAAATATTGATTCTGGAACATGCCCACCAAAGTGCGAAAGTGCGGCGAATTCATCGCGCAAAGTTGTGCGATGATTTGCTTATAGCGTAATGGTTTATGTTCCCCTGTTGGTTTATCACTACAGCTGTTTTATTTTATTTTTCCAGGGGACTTAGGCAAATGGAAGATTTAAAGGGATAGTATGGGGACCCCTGGAAGCTTTGGCATAGCTGCCACACTCGAGTCCATTCACTGTTCACTTTGTCTTTCAATCCCTAGCAAAAAAGACATTCTTCCCCCTTGACGTTCGAATTGGTGGCACCCACGTTTGGTAAAAGTGCCCACAGTTGGTAAACCACATTTGGTGAAAGTACCACATTTGGTAACCACATTTGATACAAGTACCACATTTGGTAACCACATTTGATACAAGTACCACAGGCAGTGGGAAGAGAAACATGTGGTGAAGGTAAATTCACATACAGGCAGTAAACGCGGTGCCTTTTTCTCCCTCGAGCGGGAATTCTGAATCACAATTTTCAGCTCAAGGAGCTGCCGGGAGTGGCAGCACTGAACAACAAGTGCGGGCCCAAGCGGCGCAAGGAGTGTAAGCGGCTTCTATCAGCAGAATAGTCATGATGTTCCTCGTTTTTTTTGTTTGCAGGGAATCTATCACTACTGGAAATACTTTTTTTTTGGTTTACTAGAGCTTTTGAGGAGAGGAGGGCGAATTGTTTGTTTGCGGATTCGGTGCTCCGAATCCCATCATTTGCTACTCAATCCCTCTTTTCAGACGGTGCAACGTTGTGGCACTGCATTGACAAGAACGAGTTCTGCGGTTCAAGATCCATTCCCAGATTCAGTTCGAAGCATGGTAGCTTGTGCAGCAAGCGGCCGAAACTTTTGAGGGCTTAGACCTGGGCGTTCCGCACGTTATTGTCCAAGATCCCCCACACTTGTTTATGCACAAATGCAAAGCATGTGTAAGCAACCAGGGCGAGCTGCCGGCATTGAGTTGGGGGAGGGGATGGTATTCTGAATGCCACTGATTCCGGTCCAAAGGGCTGTGTCTGTCTTGAAAAAGTTGCAGGTGTTCCTTTGAGTTTCCCTTTAAAGCCAACCAAACGAGAGATAACGAGAGGGCTCCCCAATAAAAAGACGACCCCATAGAGCCGTTGCCTGGCTTCCCATATGGTTTCGCTCGCATTTTTTTCTGGGGACCTTGTGGGCTCTGAACCCTTAAAGCCCACGAATCCAAAACGATGGGTTTTTTGCCAAAGAACAAAATCCAAACGGACGCTTTTTGGGGACCACTCCTTGGGGACCACTCCTAGCTGGAGTCTCCTTCTGACCCTTAAAAAAGGGTTGGTCATTACCCAAAATAATGGTTGGTCAATGCCCCTTTTTTGAAGGGTCATGGAGACTCTAGGTAGTGAAATCTCTGCGTATGCTTTGGGCCATCTAAGCTAAACCGGGACTAAGCTTCGTCATCCGGCCGCCGAGGTGAAGTCTTCGCGCTCAGTCGAGGTCCGCCCAGAGTTCAGGAGCTCCTCTCCAGTGCAAGCCTTACCAACTTTTTTGGTTGGGAGGGTTGGGTTCCCCTACAAAAAAATCGACAGAAGAAGAGTAACGGTAGCCTTCTAGCCTCTCTGGAAAACCTAGTCTCAGTCCTGTTACGCCAGACTGGGAGTCCCCAAGTGGTAAGATCATCTTCAGATGTTCCCAACTCAGCCGTTTGGGGCGCGATTTTTTCTTGAGACCGCCAATTGGAGAAGGAAGTCCCTGAGTTCCTGCGCTTGAAAAACTTCTTGGATCGATCCATTTTAGTGGTGAACAATATTTTTTTCGACCTTTCCGACCAATCCACGCGGTGAGGGTGATGTCGATTGAACCCAAAAGTGAAGCCTCCGGCCCAGTGTTTTTTAATGTGTTGGCAAGCCTGCAAGCAAGTGCGGTTAGTGTCAACCACTTGCTTTTGCTTAGGATGCCAAAAGGGGATGAGGCACCCCACCTGGCTTGTCTCACATCTTTATCGCTTATTCTGGGCGGGCCAAAAAGAAGGTCAGCAAGCAGATCCAATTTTAACCAGCGTTTTCCAGGGCATTCAGCCCTGCGGCCGGCGATAGCGCGGCCACTCGATTCTGCCGGATAGGTTCGGCCGCTCTTGGCACTTGCGGAGCCTTGGAGCTTTGCACAGGTACATCAACTAGGTCCCCCAGCAATTGGTGCCCTTTCTCACCCATTTTTTTGGGGGGGGCGTTTTCCCCATTTAAGTTGTCCAGCTTTATTGACCAGGTCCCACGGCTATTTAGCAACTTTTTGGGGGGAGGGTTCAACTACTAAAATAGACTACAGAAAAAAGGGGTACCCTTATTCTAACCTCTCTTTTGGAGGACCTAGTCAAGTTCAAGCGCTTCGCCCCCCAAGGAATAGAAACAGCTGAGAGCTGACAAGGCATGCTTGGCGTCGGAGGAAACAAGCTGAGATACCAAACAGCAGCAAGCACCCTAGGCGTCCTTTTGATCGGTGAGTTTGGTTAAGAATAGATGGGTTCCACTGGTTCAGCTGGGTTTTGTTCCATTCGCCAGGGAAACCCAACGATGTTTCCAAAAGGCCACCTATGGCAAGCACTGTTAGAAGCACCGTGTTGCCATAAGTACAACCCTGCCCCTAAGCAATGGATCTGCCCGCTTCCACAGCTGGCTGCCTGACCGAAGCCACGGTTCCTCGAATTTGGGTTTGGGGGGCAAATAACATTCTCCAAACTGTGGATGGACAAAATCCTGCACCACTTTGGAACCACTAGAAACCATTGTTTGTTGTTGTTTTTTACAGGGGAGCCATCATTCCAGGGATTTTCAGGTGGTGCGAAATGGATTTCGTCCATCCACAGTAGTATTAGTCACCAAACGATACACCACGTCGCAGAGGGGGGCAGTGGATGTTGGGCTCATGGCGCTTGCGGTGTTGTAGATGGACGTTTCCTTCAAGAGTGTGACGGTTTAGCTGGGTACTGCAAGGAAGCCACAGAAGTAGATTTATTCTAGGTCCCCCAGTAGTGCCCTTTCTCACCAACTTTTTGGGGGGAGGGTTCCCCTACTCAAATAGACTACAGAAAGAAAAGCTACCCTTATTGTTAACCTCTCCACTGGAGGACCTGGTATTGTAGAAAACGCTTAGCTTATCTTGAGTCCGTTTGGATATTTTGTAGTTGGCTGTGGCTGACGCCCGGTCTCCCCTGCCAAGAGGGGTCTTTGAGAAGCTTTTGCAGCGAACAGCGAGCCCCCGCAGGTAGGTGCTACTTTGGGTCGTTGCTGCGCGAGAGTTAGGTCGTTGGGATCATTGGGAGTCCGAAAAGGTGGAGGGCTGTGGGCTCCCTCCCTTTGCAGTTTTGGTGTGGATGGCTAGGTCCCCCAGCTAGGTGCCCTTTTACCAACTTTTTTGGGGGAGGGCTCCCACTATCACGAGTGCAGTTATTTTTGCCAAGGCACTTAAGCAAATGCAAGTTGGGGTGGCGGGCCTTGGATTTCCTTTGAAGGACAACAGCTGGTGACCGGTCTTTGCACTTCCAAGATGTGAGCTGACAGTACTTGTGCGGTTCAGGTTATGCTGTTATAGAAGACTGGCCCGAGTACAATTACAATCCTTCAAGCTGACCCGCGCAGCATCGTTCAACCGCAATCGGAGCGACGGGCCAATTTTCCGCCTAACCGTGGAGAGGCGGACAGAAAAAGCGAACCCGTGCTGTGCATGTTTCGGTTCGCGAGCTGAGTGAGTCTTGAGGTGTTGGGATAGGGTTGCCAGCGGCTTTTTCAAGTGAGCTCTTCGTTGAGCGAGATGGCTAGAGTCATCTCAGCTGTATGCGAACGGACCGTTTGCTCGTTCAATTTTTGAGGCCCTTCCCCCCTTCCCCCCTTTCCGGTTGGTTCATCAAAGATGAAGGTGCCGCTTTGTTTGGTAGACTCTTTCTAGCTTCCCCAAGTTGGCGGTTTCCAGCTGGTCTCCCACTTCAGTCGATCAAGGTGATGTTTGAACTCGCCTTGGGCCCCTCTTCTGGACCTCTTTGGTTTAACAGTAGGGATAGCTACGAGCAACCCTCCTTATGTGAAGGCAAGCAACAGGAAGCCCAGCTGGAGTCCAAAATTCGGATATGACGCCAGCCTTTCGGATTGAGTTGCTGGGGTTGACAGTTAGACTCATGTCAGCGGTCTACTTGTATTGCGCCTTTTTTGTGGGTACCCCTTTTCTGGAAGGGTTTTTAAGAACAGCCCAAAGGAGAACCACCGTTTTTTTTCGGCGGGCCCCCACAAAATTCAGACACACGCAGTGGTTGATGTCTGGTTTCAAGAACCTTTGGCGGCTTCCCTCACTCAACTGGGCATGTGGGTTGGCCTGGGGGTCACCTGCTGATTGGTTTGGCAAGAGTCATCGACGGCGGACGAGTTGAGACAAGACTCACTTCCTGAGTTCATGATCTTTAAACTTTTGGGGTTTGGACCGTTTTAGTGGTAAATATAAAGCTTGAACTTTTGTTTGGGCCATCCACTCAGCAAGTGAGAAGACGACAAGACAATCCCAAAGCAAAGCGCTGACACCCGGAGCCGCACCAGGCGCAACGCGGGCCTTGTGAAGCTGCAGGCGGCGCAGCGCAGGTGGAGGCGGGGGGGTCGATGGGTTCGATTTTTGAAAATCCCCCGGGGGCCGTAAAGATATGGCATTCCCCACGCAGGAGGGGACACCCTTCCATTGTTTCGGGCGGGTGGATGAGTCAAGGTTACGCATGAATGAATATCCTCACCCACTTAAAGATGGAGTTGGGGGAGGATTTTGACTGGAGGTCTCCAGTCGTTCTGAGCCATGTCCCATTTACGGGGAAGATCAATGTCATTGGGGATCCCACCCGCCTTCCCCTTATGGGTAGGAGGGATTGTTATTTGTCGACAGGGAAGGCCCGGTGGTTTCTTTTTTTGGGGACTCGGAATTCGAGAAGTTCCATTTCAACCGCGCCAGATTGTTTGTAACAGGGCCCGTGGTTTCTGAGAGGAATGATTCGTTCCCCAAGAAGCTCAGTTCCGTCTCAAGCAAACGAAGCTCACTTTCGAGCCCGAACAGGACGTTTGCGTGCGCCAAAAACAAGGTTTGGAGGGGCTGGTGCCTTTGAAAAAAGACGCCCTACCGCCAGTTGCACTACGCCTTTTCCTTTCAGTCACCATTGCAAGGTCAAGGGCTTACCTTCTTCCATTTACTGAAATGAACATTTGGTACTTTCCCTTGTTGGTGTTATATAACGGGAATCGATTTCACGACTGGAAATATACATATATATATATACACATAATTTTTGCCCGGGGGCTCTAAACGCAAATGGACGCCTTTGTTCCGCTTGCAAACCGTTTTGCCACTTCCAGGCAGGGCCAAAAGCACTGGCGCCGGCGCAAGCAGCGGGAGGTGCAGGCGGGAGGATTGCCATTGGAAAGCCACGGGGGGGCTCTTTCTTTCTGGGGGGTTTGCTTGTCCATTTGCGTGCAATGACTTGTTGGGATTGGGGAGGGTGCAATGACTTGTTGGGAGGGGAGGGTGCAATGACTTGTTGGGATTGGGGGAGGGTGCAATGACTTGTTGGGATTGGGGGAGGGTGCAATGACTTGTTGGGATTGGGGGAGGGTGCAATGACTTGTTGGGAGGGGAGGGTGCAATGACTTGTTGGGATTGGGGAGGGTGCAATGACTTGTTGGGATTGGGGAGGGTGCAATGACTTGTTGGGATTGGGGAGGGTGCAATGACTTGTTGGGAGGGGAGGGTGCAATGACTTGTTGGGATTGGGGAGGGTGCAATGACTTGCTGGGATTGGGGAGGGTGCAATGACTTGCTGGGATTGGGGAGGGTGCAATGACTTGTTGGGATTGGGGAGGGTGCAATGACTTGTTGGGAGGGGAGGGTGCAATGACTTGTTGGGATTGGGGAGGGTGCAATGACTTGTTGGGATTGGGAGGGTGCAATGACTTGTTGGGATTGGGGAGGGTGCAATGACTTGTTGGGAGGGGAGGGTGCAATGACTTGTTGGGAGGGGAGGGTGCAATGACTTGTTGGGATTGGGGAGGGTGCAATGACTTGTTGGGATTGGGGAGGGTGCAATGACTTGTTGGGATTGGGGAGGGTGCAATGACTTGTTGGGAGGGGAGGGTGCAATGACTTGTTGGGAGGGGAATGACTTGTTGGGATTGGGGAGGGTGCAATGACTTGTTGGGATTGGGGAGGGTGCAATGACTTGTTGGGATTGGGGAGGGTGCAATGACTTGTTGGGAGGGGAGGGTGCAATGACTTGTTGGGATTGGGGAGGGTGCAATGACTTGTTGGGAGGGGAGGGTGCAATGACTTGTCGGGATTGGGGAGGGTGCAATGACTTGTTGGGAGGGGAGGGTGCAATGACTTGTTGGGATTGGGGAGGGTGCAATGACTTGTTGGGATTGGGGAGGGTGCAATGACTTGTGGGATTGGGGAGGGTGCAATGACTTGTTGGGATTGGGGAGGGTGCAATGACTTGTTGGGAGGGGAGGGTGCAATGACTTGTTGGGATTGGGGAGGGTGCAATGACTTGTTGGGATTGGGGGAGGGTGCAATGACTTGTTGGGAGGAGGGTGCAATGACTTGTTGGGATTGGGTGCAATGACTTGTTGGGTTGCAATGACTTGTTGGGATTGGGGAGGGTGCAATGACTTGTTGGGATTGGGGAGGTGCAATGACTTGTTGGGGGGAGGGTGCAATGACTTGTTGGGATTGGGGAGGGTGCAATGACTTGTTGGGAGGGGAGGGTGCAATGACTTGTTGGGATTGGGGAATGGTTGCAACTGTTGGGATTGGGGAGGGTGCAATGACTTGTTGGGATTGGGGAGGGTGCAATGACTTGTTGGGAGGGGAGGGTGCAATGACTTGTTGGGAGGGTTGGACTTGTTGGGATTGGGGAGGGTGCAATGACTTGTTGGGATTGGGGAGGGTGCAATGACTTGTTGGGATTGGGGAGGGTGCAATGACTTGTTGGGAGGGGAGGGTGCAATGACTTGCTGGGAGGGGAGGGTGCAATGACTTGTTGGGATTGGGGAGGGTGCAATGACTTGTTGGGAGGGGAGGGTGCAATGACTTGTTGGGATTGTTGAGAAGCCCCCTTTCTGTTCTGAATCTTGCTGCTTTGCTTCTCACACACACAGATCCTTAAAGGCTTTTTTGGTAACCTCAGTTTTCGCTCTAAGAAACACCTGCTCGTTGAAGTACCTCTTTTGGTTGGTTTTAAAAGGAAGCCAAAAGGAAACCAACCATTCTTGGGGGGGCCTAAAAAAGACATACCCATACTTCAGGTGTTGTTTTGGTCGAAGCAAGAGCTGGCTGGAATAGAATGGCGCCGGATATTCTCCTTACATGGGCGATGGGTTTTGTGATCGATTCATCGTCAAGGCCGAGGGCCTCAAGACCGAGGTACCTCTCGGCCAGACTCGTTGATGGAGCGAGCATACTTGGAGGGAAGAGCTCCTTACCCCCCGTTACCCCTGATGTCATCCTTTAGCTTGTGCAACTTTGTCAGTATGTTGGGAGCTATGTCATGCATTCCTTTGGCTTGTGCAACTGTTCGGGTGTGTCGGGCAACTCAGCGGACTCGCTTTTGGCTTCCCTGCTCCAACAGTTTTTGTTTATGCACACGAGGAACCAGTAACAAGCTGAAACCCTGCCAGCCTAGGAGGTAGCAGGAGCTGGCTAAGCCGAGCTTTGTGGGTCAAGCAAAAAATGAACACGAGGAGTCCATAGCCATGTTTGTTTTGCTCGCCAGGAGCCGACGTGGGAGGCCGAACCGGCGAAGCGCCGAAACGGCGGAAGGGCCGCAGTTGGGTTCCGAAAAAAATCGGCGGTGGGAGGCTCTTCTGGGTGCACACAGAAGCTCAGCCAAAAGGCGTGAGGTGTGTGTGTCCCTGAAAAATGCGGTGTTGCGGGTGATCTAAGAGAGCTTCCAAGATGATTGCCCCCGTGTGGCAAGCGGGTATCAAGTTTATAATGGCGATAATCCTTAACGAACAATTCACCAAAAGGGGAGAGTTGTGACATGGGCGAAATGGTGAGCCACAATGAGACCCGGGTGGACGAAGATTCGCAAGGCATAATCCCAACCATGAATAGGTGAAGCCGCCTTTTTGATATGTATATGGTTCTGGCTAGACCTTTTTAGTGCCAGGTTTTGACAACGACTTGTTGAAAACGCATTGTTATATGGCCACGCGTGTTTGGGTTCAAGCTATAACTCAGGTGTGTACAGTTGCAGTCACGCTACATATTATACTGGTTATATACCTAAGTTAAACTTACATACATTACATTCATAACATACACCACATACGCAACACAAGACATGCTATCTATCCATTAAATCCATTATGTACATAGAATACCAATCGCACGTATCATGCACACTGACATGTCATGCGTACCATGCATAGCTAGCATACTTGGATACAACATGCATGGTCAACGCCTTCACATTACTCGATGAACCTTTCGAACATGTTAAAGCTCGGCGGGGGCCAAAGTGCCAGCCTTGATGTGTCTGGCTGAGGAGAGCCAGAGGTGTGGTACTCGAATTTGCATCCCCTGGCAATTTAACATAAAAGGGGGGACCCTGTCCCCCAAAAGGAGTTTCCTCTAGTTGTGTGTTTTCAGTTGGTACCCTTATTCTAGCTTCTCTACTGGAGGACCTAGTACTGGGGGTTCCATGTCACTGGGAGTGGGTTGGTGTATCAAATGCGATGAGTTGCTGGCCAATTGAGACAGTTGGGACGCCTGAAGATGAATCACAGGCTGAAGCCATGCATCTATACAAAACACTCACCGTAGTCCCATTCTTCTGACTGCTACTGGGTTGGATCTTTGGACTTTAACTTTTTGCATGAAATCAAGGGTTTTCCACTAAACCCCAAAAAAGTTAAACACTTTTTGCAGGGGTGTCGTTGCAGCAACCAAGTTGTGAAGGGTTAACATGACCAGGTGCTCGCGCGGTTTCCAATAGGCTTAGCTTGCAATGGGCCTCACGTGAGCCACTTGCTCAAAACCGATTCGGGTAGATGAAGGTTGGGAAGGGAGAATCCCCTTGCCATCAACAGGTGCGGCGGCCTTGGTAGCTCTTTACATGGTTCTGGGTAGACAGAATTTTAATACCGATCGGCTTGGATCAGTGGACCTCACGTTAGGTTGACGACAGTTCTCGTGCCGGGTGATGGTCCAGGCTCCAACGTTGCGGCTAGACGAGTCCGAGGCTTAGGTGATTTCACGACCCGAAGTTGCCTAAGGGTCAAAGGCCCAGAAGGGGCCAGTTGGCAGCTGGATATGTTTTTAGGTTGGACCACCAAAATGGTTGGTTTCCCCTCAACCACAAACACGGGCACCCTCGAAAAAGCAGACCACTAATTGGGGTATTGACAGCGTTCGAGTGCTTGGGCGATTTGATAATTTGATCCGCTCGTTTCACCTTCTTTGCATGATGGAGAGAATGGCAGATGTGACACTTTGGTCGAGCCACGTTGATTCTACTTGATGAATGTGTCAACCTTTTTTCTCCACCAAGGTCCCCCAGTAGTGCCCTTTTACCCTTTTTTGGCGGGGGGGTCCCCTACTAAAATAGACTACAGAAAAAAAGGGACCCTTATTCTAACCTCTCTACTGGAGGACCTAGGTTATGAGTTTGTTAACCCTGTTTTTTTCACAAACTGTTTTTTGTTTTCCTTTTTTCTTCGGCTTTGGAACACCCACTCCTGAAGACTATGAAGTATCGGTAGATTTGTAGCGACAATAGCTTTTGTGTTTTAAGGTGGTTGTTTTTTGTTTGGGGAACACTTTTAAGAAGTATCTTAAAGTTGATGTGTTTGTTTTTTGTCTGTTTGTTTTTTGTTGCTGGACAGTCTTTTTAAGGTGGGTGTTTTGGTGATTGCCCAACTTGGCTTTGTTTTTGTGTTACCCACGCATCGGAAGAGGCTTTTTCAGGAACCCTAGGGAATTCTAGGGAATCGTAGGGAACTGTAGGGATTCCAAGGGAAGCGTAGGGCTTTCAACTATCCACTTGATCAGGGGGTCGACATCTGCTTGAGCATCAATAGCCGGCGACCTGCGCCGCATTTGGTTCATTCAACTACCAGAAGTATGTGGCCCTTGCTTTCCTGGCTGGATCCTTGCCTAGGTTGAGCCAGTGGATCTGAAAAAGGCTGGATGCCCTATAGGCTTAAGGCTCTTCACCCTGGCCAGACATTTCTTGGAGCCCAACTTGACCGTGGGTCCCCTTTTGGGGCCGGGTCAGACCATCTTTTAGAGAAACAAAAAATAAGGCGACCGGTTTTTATGATGCCTCAAGTAAGGAAGCAGCAACCATGGAAATTGGGTTGGTGCGGCCTGAGGTTCCCTTCCCTCAACGCGACGCGGGCGTCGAACGCGGAGGCCCAGTTGCACCGCGTTGCACGTCCCCGGGCACCCGGCCCAGCGCCAACGAACCCGGGGGTCATTGGTTCATGCTGGCTTCACAGAACTCAAGGGATGATTCACAAGTGTTAGATTGGATTGCATGACTCGTGACTCTTTTTATGAAAAGTAAATATCAGCAAGGCCTCGTTCTTCGCTTAGCCCGTACAACAGATATCACAATGCGCATGACTTGCAGGCAGAGAAGTGGCGCTTAGCACATAGGAACATCAGACGAAGAGATGGTATTGTTGCCCCTGGCAAAAAAGGGCATACTTTCGGACCTTCGGATGGGGTGATTTTAGGGTTGTATCCCTGGGTACAAAAGATCGGATCGGCGCAACGGAAATCGCGACCTATGTTTTGGTGGGTTGATCAAGGGTTGGGTGGGTGTTTTAGGGAAAACCCGCTGGATCCCAGTTACCCTGAACGTAGGTCAGCTATGTTCCTGTTGGTTGTTGAAGGGTGTTTTTGTTTGGTTACCTTCAAAACCAGGTAGATGGGTCCACTGGGGAAAAAAAAGGTAGATGGGTCCACTGGGAAGAAACCAGGTAGATGGGTCCACTGGGGAGAAACCAGGTAGATGGGTCCACTGGTAAAACCAGGTAAATGGGTCCACTGGGAAAAAACCAGGTAGATGGGTCCACTGGGAAAAAAAACAGGTAGATGGGTCCACTGGGAAAAAAACAGGTAGATGGGTCCACTGGGAAAAACCATGTAGATGGGTCCACTGGGAAAACCCAGGTAAATGGGTCCACTGGGAAAAAACCAGGTAACTGGGTCCACATGGAAAAAACCAGGTAGATGGGTCCACTGGGAAGGAACCAGGTATTTGGGTCCACTGGGAAAAAACCAGGTAACTGGGTCCACTGGGAAAAAACCAGGTAGATGGGTCCACTGGGAAGGAACCAGGTATTTGGGTCCACTGGGAAAGAACCAGGTAACTGGGTCCACTGGGAAAAACCAGGCAGATGGGTCCACTGGGAAGAAAACAGGTAGATGGGTCCACTGGGAAAAAACCAGGCAGATGGATCCACTGGGAAAAGGACAACGACGTTCTGAAAGAAAGCTAAGAACGAACCGCCCGTTTCTCTCAGACTGGCCTGGCGCCTCTGGCGGAGCCGGGAAGCTTAGACGCCCTCTGCCTATGGAATGGGTGCTATGCAGAAGTTCCTGGGGGGATTCCTGTGAATTTTCCGGGTGATAAGCTCCCCAGGATGTTATCCTGGTTCCAACAGCAGAAGCTAGTCCTTGGAAGACCATTCTGTCAGCTTCCACGATAAATTGGAAAGAACGCTTCCTGCCACCAGAAGGTACCTGGAAGGCCAATTTGGCAATTGGGCCCCTGTCAGATTCCAGCTTGGTGTGCGTTTAAAGGCAATCCTTAGTCCTTACCTTCGGTTTTGAAAGTGGACCCCTTTGTGGTTTTCCAGTACGGATTATGGATTTGAATTGAGAGCCAACATCCTGAACAGCCCAGCTTGCACTTCGCATGCTGGCAACCACAGTCAGGCATGTCCATGTTCGGGGGATCCAGCTGGTCCAGAGTCGGTAGCACCGTCCACCAACACGGCCCTTGGACCTTGCCATTTCTCACTGGTAGCTGCGAACCGGAGAACCTTCTCGTCTAAACGCCGGCCGCCTGAAGCGAGTGTCTTGCGAGCGCAGAGACCGAAGAGAAGATCTGTGGCTTCCGCATGCTCTCTGTCCGCACCTTGCCTCCGATGGCGTCTGACATCAAGAAGTTGGCCGGAAACATGCGCGAGAAGATGGTTGATGGTTGCCAGCTGTTAGCATCGCACTCCGCTGGCGATGCTGATGCTGCTGTTTATTGCTCAGCGCGAAGCCTGGATGTGAGCTTAAGCCAGGGTTTCTTTCCGCGTCTATGGACTTGAGGGCCCCTGGAAAAGCTAGCCACGCCGACGTGTTTCCTGCGCGAGTGTGTGTGTGTGTGTGTGCGCGTGTGTGTGTGTGTGTGTGTGTGTGTGTCTGTGTGTGGGTGTGTGTGGGTGCGTGGGTGTGTGTGTGTGTGTGTGTGCGCGTGTGCGAGTGTGCGTGTGTGCGTGTGTGCGTGTGCGCGTGTGCGCGTGTGCGCGTGTGCACGTGTGCACGTGTGCGCGTGTGCGCGTGTGCGTGTGTGTGTGTGTGCGTGTGCGTGTGCATGTGCGTGTGCGTCTGCGTGTGCGTCTGCGTGTGCGTGTGCGTGTGCGTGCGTGTGTTGTGGTCCAAGTTGTGGTGTGTTTTTGTTTTTTTGTTTTTTCTATGTGCTCGTGTCGCGGTGAGTCTGTTAGTGTTTTTGTGTTGCGGTGTTGTGTGTTTTGGTGAGAGTTTGTATGCTTGTTCGTCAGTGTTTGTGGGTGATTTGCGTGTTTCTGTATTTGTGTGTTTGATTCGCATGCGCCAAAGTCAGCGTTTGTAAGGAGAGTCTCCTTTTCCAGTGCGCCGTTCGGGGGCTTCATGGCTCCATGCTACGCAGCGATTGTGGATATCCCAACTCGCCCGGGTAAAGCCGAAACCTTCTTGTTCGAGCAACCTTCCTGTTGCGTTGTCCATTCACATGGTTTTGTATGCATCTTTTTCTGGCGGGATCTAAGTCTGATCAGAGATCAGCCAATACTTGGGCGCAGGCTGTTCTATGCGTATACAAGTGTACATACATGTGTTATACATGCCTTCTGTATTGCTATGCATAGATAGACACGTGCACTAGACATACAAGTGAAGAAAACATATCGACACATGAGAGCCGCAGTTCAGTCCTTGTATCATGAAAGCGAGATATGCTGGCATTGAGTTCTATGTTTTGTCAATCGAGGGGGATGGGCCGGCTTCAGTAATTGATTGATTCAATCTTTTTGGGGACGGCGGGGAGGGGGAGGGGGGCGGGTTTTGATTCGGATTGAATCCAAAGACAAATCCTTGATTACCTCCCCCCCTTTTAAAAAGAATCAACAAACAAGGGTTCGATTCTTGTTTGATCCCTCCATCCCCAAAACCAATGTTTGATCCACTCTAAAATACCCTTCTACACCTTTGTACCGAGGGGTTGTTAATTCGGACCTGCCTTTCAGGGCTTATTTGGTGTGTCATTTTTTCGGGAAGTTGTGCATGCATTGCGTTCGGGCTATTCAGGTTGGCCAAGAGCGTGAAAGCGCGACAGCCAGCTTTCAACCTCATCCGCCACTCAAGCCCTCGTGTGTGTTTTGTGTGGGGGGGCAAGGTAAGCAAAACGCGAAAGACAATCACCAGTCAACTAAGGAAACCCTCGACTCATCTCATGGTTTCATCCCGCACCTGTGTTTTATTTTCCTGCACCTATGTTTTGTGTTTTTGAAGGGAATCTTTCACCACGAAGATTTGTTTTCTTGTTTCAGGGGGCGTGTTCGCAGATAGCTTACCCAACTGACACGGAGCCTGACTGAAGATCCCCTGGCCATATTCCTGTCAGGGGCCTTTTTTCAAGGTCAGTGGGAGAATGGGGTGCTTGGGTTTCAGAGGGGTTTCGAGGGGTCTGCTGTTTCTTTTCAGGTCTTGGGGTGGCTTCCAGGGGGTTTTGGATTTGGATTGGAACCTCTGGTTGGAAACCGTCCCTCACCACCGATCCGGCCAACCAGCAACTAGGCTTCCCTTGGCTTGACTTGAAGAGTTTGGGCGTCGGTTTTTTGGCAGCCCGTGTTTTTGGCTTCAAAAGGACATTTGAGCCACAATCAAAACCCGGGTAGATGAAGGTTAGTAAGGGACAATCCCAACCATAAATAGCTGCGGCCACCTTCTTATTTCTTTTTACATGGTTCTGGGTCGACCGAATTTTGATACCGGGTTTTGATTGACTCATTTGGGGGGCTCCGAGCCGCCCATTTCAATGTTTCGAAATCGATCGAACATTGAGCGCTCAGGCTTAACAGCGAGAGGCGAGGCGACCCGGTGCAGGGAAAAGAACGAGCCGGAAAGTCAAATCCATAGGCGTCCTTTTGGTCGGTGAGTTTGGTTAGAAATAAATGGGTTCCACTGGTTTAGATTCGGGTTTTGTTCCATTTACCAGGGCCATCGATTTCTCAAAAAGGCGACCTATGTGTTTGGCATGTTGGCTCCATGTTGGTTTTGTTCCATTTGCCAGGGAAACTCATCGATTTTAACCAAAAGGCCATGGTCAAGTCCCCACGTGACTGGTCTTAACCTTGGATCTACCTGGAGTCTCCTTCTGACCCTTAGAAAATGGTTGGTCATTACCCAAAATAATGTTGACCCATTTTTAAAGGGCCATGGAGACTCTAGCTAGAACCCCTGGTTGAATTTGAGAGATGGGGGTGACCCCTTTTAGTGGGATTCATCACTGGAGGGAACAGCCACACATGAAACGGACGGTTTTTTTTGTCCGGGTTCAACCAAACAATAAATCGCCTTCGAAGGGCTCCTTTCGATTTTCCCAATGTCGGGAACTGGGACTGTGTGCATGTGATCTTGGCAGCTTCCAGCCATCCCCTCAGCGTTTTTTGCAAGAGTGGGGATCTCAAAACGGACAGCCCAGGGATTTTTGTTGTCTACCACCTGTGACTTGGCTCTCTGGTAATCTCTGGTAGGTTACGTTTCGCTGGTTTTGCAGTCCAGCCATGTGTCGGTGTGTGTGTCCGTGTTTGTGTGTGTGTGTGGGTGAGAGGAAGCGGTGCGGCCATCCATATCGTGATTACACCTTGGCCCCGTTTATGCATATATTCTGTATGCGCGTGTCCTCCTTGTGGTTGGTTCAAAGGGAGAAGCGAGAAGGACACCAGCAAACATAATATATGCATAAACGGGGCCAAGGTGTAATCACGATATCCATGTGGTTGCGGCATTTTCATAGGGGGTTTCAAGACCTCCAAAAGTGGGTGGTGGACATCAATTCTCAATGCTGTCCTCCAAAAGGTCCCGAAGTAAGAATCCTCATACGGGCGTGTCGCTTTCTTTTTTCGGGGACGCCCCAAAATGATGGTTGTCCTTTTGGTGTCCTTCAAAACGCCAAGAAAGGGGGTGTCAACAAAAAGACCCGCCCATTCCGCATGTAAGCTGTAAGGCGATCCTCTTTTCTTTGGGTCACACAAGTCCCCTTTCCAGTCATTGGGCTGGAGCCTCGGCTGGCCGCGGCTGGCTTTTGCGGTTTCCCTTTGGTGTTCCTTCAACTCTCACTCCTTGAGTTGGACATTGAACGTTTTGGGAAGACCCAGCGAGCGGCGTACAACCAGTTTCCTGGAGTCTCCTTCTGACCCTTAGAAAATGGTTGGTCCTTACTCAAAATAATGGTTGGTCAAGAACCCATTTTTGATTCGGGTCATGGAGACTCTAACTAGAACCCCTGGTTGAATTTGAGAGATGGGGGTGACCCCTTTTAGTGGGATTCATCACCGGAGGGAAGAGCCACGCATGAAAAGGACGGTTCTTCTTTTTTTTCTGGCCCAGCCACGGAACTGAGGAAGATGTGTTTGATTTTCCTCGGGTTTCAAAGGGAAGTCCACCCGGGTGTCGTTGCTTTCCAGGTCTCCAGGAAGCCTGGAACGATTTTTTTGCGATTTCCTTGGTTGCCCAAAGCCGACCTCAATGTTGACCTTTTGGTTTTCCTTTTTCTAGTTTTAGTCATGGCCCCAAAAGGTGATCACCTTTTATGTTCCGGGTCCTTTGGGCTGAGTTCCCCCTCAGCCCCAGAACCGGGTCCGTGAACCCCAAGAAGCGCCTCCGTCGGACGCGCTCGCGGACGCCTCGCCCGCGGACGACCGAGGCCGGAGAGTTCCATTGCCTCGCTGGCCAGCAGTTCCGAAGGAACCCATGGCGATCGTCGGATTGGTTGGGTCGAAGGGGTTGGCTAGGTCCCAGCCAGGTGCCGTTTTGAGCGTTCCCTTTGTTGGGTTGGGAGGGTTCCCCTACTAACATAGACTTATTCTACACTGGAGGACCTAGTTGGCGTCTACCATCTGAAGGGAAATCAAAGGGACGAAGGGAAAGACCAAAGGGATTCAATGACAACTGAACCAAAGGAAAGGTTTCAAAGGGGTCCATTGGACCAGTTATTTGGACGTTTGCAAAAGGGAGCAAGCAAAAGGGAAAGACCAAATCCAGGTTTGGGGCCTGAGCATTGGAGGTGGCAATGAGGTGGCTTCCTTCCTTGCCATCTGTGCGATAGGGAATGAGGGAATGAAGAAGTCGGGGTCCCCTGAAAGGAAACCAACCACAACGGATTCGATGATTTGTAGGGGTCATTCCCTCATTCCCTCATTGCCTGCCTATCGCACCGAATCGCAAGGGGAAACCAAACGGACGAACCAGGGGGGGGACAAGTTTTGTGGGGTTGGTTTAACGGGAAACCACAGGGGAAGCCCAAAGGGATTCTTTTTTTGGGTCTCCCTCGCACGGGTTCTGGATGAAACCCTATGAGTACTGGGATAAACCACGTGGAAATCAACAGTATGGGTGTGCTCAGTTGTCCAAAGCCGACCTTTTGACCTTTTGGTTTTCCAATTTTGGTCCATTTTTAGTAGAGGTGCCAAAAGGTTAACCTTTTAGTTCTGGGTCCTTTGGGCAACTGAGTGTGTGCTTGTTGGCTCGGCATGTACTGGAAATCAAGGAACAACTCCGAAAGCCGATGTTACGGGACAGGCGGATCCCGTCTTTTATGGCGCACCCATGTCTTTTAGTACCTTGCAAGGGTCCATTTGCATGAAGTGCCCGAGAGGGCCATGTTGGGTAATTTGCGGCCCTTGGTTCTGGTTGTAAATTTTGTTTGACTTCCCAAACAAATAGATGTGGTTTTCCCCAAGTTGTCCAGACCTCCTACCCAGTTCTTTGACTATCCTTGCCTTGGGTCACGCATGGAGCTGGTCCCGGTCCCCTCAGTCCCTTTTCGACTTCTTGGGATCGGAGTCGCACCCCTCGCAGGGTCCATCAGGGTCCATTGAGCCCCTGTCGTCTTGCCGGTTTTGAGCAAGTAACGGCGACCCGGCGAGTGCTCGGGCCGGCTTTGGCCATTCCATCCGAACCAGCATAATTTGATAATTTCACACTTCCATAGGCGTTCCTTTGATGGGTTAGTTTGGTTAAAAATAGATGGGTTCCACTGGTTTAGATGTGTTTTGTTCCATTTACCAGGGAAACTCATCGATTTTTAACCAAAAGGCCACCTGTGCACACTTCGGGCAGCGGCCAAAGGAAACTGGAGAAATCACGGCTCCCGCCGCTTGTGAACGGCTTCCACGTAGAATTTGTATTGCCGGAAAAGGGAGGCCCTATCAGGGGTTAAACTTCACAAGCATGATCTATGCTCCCATGAGGTGATTTGGTTTACCCTCCCACCAATCAACACGGAACCTGACAGAAAAGGGAAAATGGTCAGAGCCAGGACCCCCCCGACACGTCAGGTTCCATGTTAGTTGATTGGTGGGAGGGTAGCACCACCGAGATCCGTTTCCAACTCTCTCTGTCGCGAGCGATCGCGCACGAGCGCAGACGACCACCTGCACGTGCGGGGGCCCCTGGCCTTGATCAAAAGCGAGCCGGAAAGCGTCAAAGAGGACGGGAATGGGTACTTTGTTGCATTTTGCTTGGATGTTAGGACTTTAACTTTTTTGCCAACTAATGGGTTTTCCACTAAAACACTAAAGGTAAACTTTTAGCAGGGGAGCAGAAAGCAACCGAGGGTAAACTGTTGTTTGAATCTTCCAGTGGCTTTCCCACCAGCAAATGTTGCGAAGAGCGAAAAGACATGCTCTTTTTTTTGTTCAAAGAAAAAATATATTTCCTTTGGGTTGTAGAGGGAATCTTTCACTACTGGACATCTTTCTCTTTTTTTCCAGTGGGCAAAAGCAAATGGAGGAAGGAATGCGGACAGGCCCATGCGCAATTCCAGGAGTGAACCCGTGCCGGGAAGGATTCTCCGCATTGATTCCTTGCCCGTGCTTTGCAGGCCAATGGGAACCTGTTTTTTCTTTTCCGAGAGATAAGACTTGCATGCTGATCGCCTCGAGAGCGGAAGTGTGGTTTTCGACCAGAGGCGACAGGTGGTCCTTGCCCTAGCCCAATGGCCTGAGTTGAGGTCTTTGGGGGTCAATGGCCCTCATATTTCGGGTCCAAGGGGCTGCCAGGGTTGGGATTTTCACCTCGATGTGTTTCTTCGCTTCCCAGACCTTTGCGCGAGTGGACCCTTCAGCTCATTGAAGTCAAAGGGTGGGGACCGAGCCGACTCGGCTCCATGGTTAAGGGGCCATGGTTGACCTGGTTGTTCCTACGCCTCAAACACAATGCTCTAGCTCCCCCAAAGGCCAAACACAATATGACCTGGGTCAAAGTGCGCCGACTCAAGTTGCAAGATGTTGCCAATGAATTCACCACCGGCAAGCTTGTCAGCGGGCAATGGAGGTTTGTTTGCAAGAATTCGGGTGGATTTGCAGAGTGCCCTTTTTACCGTGGCAACAAGTTGTGTTTTTTTTGGGTAAATCTACGATTCTGATGAGGTCCAGCCCTTCAAATTCACACCCTGGTGCCTAATGGCCTATCAAGATTTTCACCTGAAACGTGTCCCACCTTGGAGGGCTGGAGTTCTCATTTTGCCGAGAGGAACACAGCATCGGTCCCAACCCCACTGGCCCCATTGCCCCAGTGGCCCAAGTGGGTTACGCGGTCATTTTTTGGGGCTACCAGGGTTGAGAAAAACGCA